GACCAATGCAGAAGCTTGAAGAGGGAGCTGGTTCGGGCACAAGAGGAGATTAAGCGGATACAGAGTGTGCCGCTGGTCATCGGACAGTTTATGGAAGCTATCGACCAGAAGTAGGTATGCCCTTTCTTGGTATTTGAAGGTTCATTTTACTGACAAATCTTTCCAGCACTGGTATTGTGCAAAGCTCAACCGGTTCTAATTACGTCGTCCGCATCCTGTCCACTCTCGACCGCGAGAAGCTGAAACCCTCATCTTCGGTCGCCCTTCACCGTCACTCCAATGCCCTTGTCGATATTCTTCCTCCAGAGGCCGACTCCTCTATTGCCATGCTGGGTGAGAACGAAAAGCCCGATGTGACGTACGCGGATGTTGGTGGTCTCGATATGCAGAAGCAGGAGATCCGGGAGGCTGTCGAGCTGCCTTTGACACATTTCGACCTCTACAAGCAGATTGGTGGGTGAGAATCAATTTGTTTCCAATAACACAGCTAATGATCTGCAGGTATCGATCCTCCTCGTGGTGTCTTGCTGTATGGTCCTCCTGGAACCGGAAAGACCATGCTGGTTAAGGCCGTGGCCAACAGCACAACTGCCAGCTTCATCCGTGTCAACGGGTCAGAGTTCGTACAGAAGTATCTGGGCGAGGGTCCTCGTATGGTGCGCGACGTTTTCCGCATGGCGCGTGAAAACTCACCGGCCATCATCTTCATCGATGAGATCGACGCGATCGCCACCAAGCGTTTCGATGCCCAAACCGGTGCCGATCGTGAAGTCCAGCGTATTCTGCTGGAATTACTGAACCAGATGGATGGTTTCGAACAATCTAGCAATGTCAAGGTCATCATGGCCACCAACCGAGCTGACACTTTGGACCCTGCTCTGCTGCGTCCTGGTCGTCTGGACCGAAAGATTGAGTTCCCCAACCTGCGGGATCGACGTGAGCGCCGCTTGATTTTCACCACCATCGCATCCAAGATGTCGCTTTCTCCCGAGGTTGACCTCGACGCCCTGATCGTGCGCAACGACCCCCTGTCCGGTGCCGTGATCGCTGCTATCATGCAGGAAGCTGGTCTGCGGGCTGTCCGCAAGAACCGCTACAACATTATCCAGTCGGACCTTGAGGATGCTTATGCCGTTCAAGTCAAGAATGGACAGGACGATGACCGGTATGTGCTTGCCCTGAGATATTGGTTTTCATATCTTACTAATTGGTTTCTTGCAGCCCTGACTTCTACCGGTAAACGCTTGGGTCTTTCGGAGGTGTGGTGGATTTCAGTGACGAAAGCTTGGTCTTCCTCACCAGTTGTATTATCAATAATATGCAGGCGCCATGTGTCACAATGTTTGGACGATTTCTTGATTCTGTAATGCTCCTTTCGACCTCTACAGTGGTAGATTGCCTTGTCTTGGCATTTACCTGCCCTCGGTCAACTAAACCGTCCCTGTAAACTAGTAGCCAAGAATATCCGTTTTGTTTAGTGTAATTTACATTGGAGTACTTTGTTATGACTCTGGTGAGGAAAGGCTGTGATTCGACGGTTTGTTGTCGCGATTCTCACGGTACTCTACCAAATATATATATCCGTGGGTGATACTGTATCGAAGTATATACGTCTGAATCCGGACCACTTTACGCTCAAGAGCACGCTGGGCTTTACGGTTTACCTTTCGCTTCAAAATTAGCACAGAATAAGGGCCATGCTATTGTTGCAACAAGACCTTGAGGTGCATGGTAGCTTCCGTAGAAGACCACTGGCGCACAAAGAACCCTCGTGTCTGTTGCCAGAGCTACGGCAAGGTAGCCATGGCAGTCTGCAGAAAGGCAGCTGTTGTGTTCAAGAGTCCTGCAAAGGCACGCGATCCTTTGATGCAAGGCAGAAGGACCGCCTGCCCTCGCACGGAGACATATGTCCAAAGCTTACACGTACAAGAAACCCCTCAAAGTGACACGACATCGGCACGATTCCAGAATTCGTAGAAACAGCAGCATCCATAGCGTAGCTTTTCGCCACACCAGTCATCCTGCAGCTGCCAGGTACAGCGGGAGGGGGGTTTCCGACTAGTCCGAGCACTCCGTCAATGGCGCTAGTTCCCCAGGCACTAGCCCCCATATATTCCCCCGATTGCTGCCAACCTGCAGGCAATATGGATAGAATTATGTGAGCTAACTAGTAGAGAAGAAAAAAATAGGCAAACGGAACACATGAAGGTCTGGAATTCGGGAACCAGAACCGCGTGATATGGGGACGTCCCAAAGGGGTTTAGTGCCAAGTGCGACCCTCCTGCTTCCGTCATCGGTCTCCTCATCCCCAGTCCCATCTGCTCTTATCTCTCTCCTCTCCATCTCACTCTCTTGTTTACCATCACTTTCACTTACACTATTGATATTGAATTATGAAGTCGTCACTCACCCTCCTGACAGCTTCGCTGTTGGGCAGTGCTGCCGCTGAGGTTCACAAGCTCAAGCTCAACAAGGTCCCTCTGGATGAGACACTGGTAGGATCATTGATGCCTAAAGCATACCTAAGCTAACCGCGAAGTAGAGCCCTCAAAACTTCGGTGCTCATATGGCCAGCCTGGGCCAGAAGTATATGGGCCAGGAGCACCATGACCGGTTCCGCGATACGTCGATGAAGCCTACCGCCGGCCACGATGTGCTGGTTGACAACTTCCTGAACGCTCAGTGTATGTATCATGCCAAAGGGCTCTAGACACTGAATTTTGACGATTCTGATCCTTTCCAGACTTCTCTGAGATCCAGATCGGTACCCCTCCCCAGAGCTTCAAGGTCGTCCTGGACACTGGTAGCTCCAACCTCTGGGTCCCCTCTGAGCAGTGCAGCTCTATCGCTTGCTACCTGCACACCAAGTACGACTCGTCTGCTTCGAGCACTTACGAGAAGAACGGTACTGAGTTCGAGATCCGCTATGGATCTGGTAGCCTGAGCGGCTTCGTGTCTAAGGACACACTCCAGATCGGTGACCTGAAGGTCAAGGGTCAGGACTTTGCTGAGGCTACTAGTGAGCCTGGCCTGGCATTCGCCTTCGGTCGCTTCGATGGTATTCTCGGCCTTGGCTACGACACCATCTCTGTCAACAAGATGGTTCCTCCCTTCTACAACATGCTGAACCAGAAGCTCCTGGATGAGCCCGTATTTGCTTTCTACCTGGGCGATGCCAACAAGGATGGTGACAACTCCGAGGCCACTTTCGGTGGTGTCGATAAGAGCCACTACACTGGCGAGATGATCAAGATCCCTCTCCGCCGCAAGGCCTACTGGGAGGTTGAGCTCAACGCCATTGCTCTTGGCGACAACGTTGCTGAGCTTGAGGATACCGGTGTCATTCTGGACACTGGTACCTCTCTCATTGCTCTGCCTTCAACCATGGCCGAGCTTCTGTAAGTGTATCCCTGACTGATGTTGTGAATTTCGCTAACCCTTTCCAAAGCAACAAGGAGATCGGTGCTACCAAGGGCTACACTGGTCAGTACACCGTGGAGTGCGACAAGCGTGACTCTCTCCCCGACCTCACCTTCACCCTGTCCGGCCACGAGTTCACCATTGGCCCCTATGACTACATCCTGGAGGTCCAGGGCTCTTGCATCAGTAGCTTCATGGGCATGGACTTCCCCGAGCCTGTGGGTCCCCTGGCTATCCTGGGTGATTCTTTCCTGCGTCGCTGGTACAGTGTCTACGACCTCGGCAACAGCGCTGTTGGTCTGGCCAAGGCCAAATAAGTGCGCCAAGATTTAATGGCCCCATGAGTTGTGAATATCAAAGATCCGTGTGACTAAACGTTTGCTTCATATATATGTGCGGCTTAGCTGGGTTGACCTCATAGCCCTTGTAGCGCACTTGATCATTTGCAATTGCTGCGACTACGTTGACTAAACTCCTCTTCTGTCTTTGCTGTCACAGTCTATCATGAGGCATTTTGGTTTATTGGTACTGCAAATTGATCTCTTTACACGTTAGGATTTACCCATTGCATTTAAATCATTACTGAACCCGCTCTCCTGCCCTCGTATTGTATACCAAGCTAGCTATATCAAGTTTGCTCCTATGAACTATCTCCCGATCTCCGAGTTGACGTAGTCATATAAGTGACAATTGGCTGGAGCTAATGTCGATTTTAAGGTGCAGGCTGCACCAATCCACGAACAAGTTTCTGATACATGCTGTGGTCAAGTACACTTTTTCTACTGCTCTTTTCAATGCATGGGTGTAATAACATCAACTAGTCCTACTAATACACAAAGCCAAAGCGAACCGATGTAAGTAGGCTAAAACACAACGTATGGCGGTGAGACATGGCATGCTCCAACATAGAGGTCACCAGTCCGGCTAAACTTTACCGTAGATGTTACACCCCAAGTAAGGGCGCACCTACAAATAGTTCATTGAGTCATTTCATCAGGCCACGCAAGAAAAGTGAATGAAGTCAATCTCAAACCAAGGAGCGAGACCAATACCTGTTTTTAGATACCGTAATGACATAAGCGGAAGCTCGAAAGGCTCCAGGTCTGTCCCCGCACAACTTCAATGAGCTTCTCTTTCTTTGATTGCAGCAAACTCCAACCAACGTTCCTTCCCTCTTTGACCCTAAGCAATTTCCTGCGCCTGGTGCGGGACCTGTCTTTGACCTCCGCGCCAGGTTGTGCTAGGCGCACGAGTTTTCTTTGATCTTTGATCACCCGCGCCTTGTGGCGATTCTCTCATCGCGCTGCCTAACTACCTCTTCGTTTCCTCAAACCCTCCCAAGACAGCCTGCATCTCAAGTGACAGAGTTGACTCTCGCTAGAGCAATACCTGTATTTGTTTCGTTCTTCACGCGTCGCGTGTTGGTGATGGCTTCGTAGCCGGCATCGCACGCGATCACCTCATACGACCCACACGTCCGCTTTTGACGCGCCGTCCACAACATAAAGGCACAGCGGGTACCTTGAGATAAGGATTGCGATTTCACGCAATTTGTCGCCTGGGGCGAGCTGAGAGCCATCATGCTTCTTCGTTTGCCGTCCGGTCTGCACTACCCAATCACGGTGACGTCGCTGCTCAAGCAGCCTGGCGATCCGATTGAGAGGGATGAGGCTCTGTTCTGGTATTCGTATGAGACGATGGTGACGGAAGGTGATGAATTCGGGAACAGGACCGATGTCCTGCGGAAGTTTCCAGCAAGATATGAATCGACTGCCGATGGAGAAATTGTTCAATGGAAAATCAGAAAGGGGGATGTTATTGATGATGCGTGAGTATTGGTCAATCGTTACTGTTGCTAATTCTTGTCTGACCACTTCCCAGTGTCGATATTGTTGAAATCGATGAGCCTTGTGCGCATGAGGTCCAATTCGGCGGACTATGCGCGGAGTGTGGCAAGGATATGACTCAGTATGTATATGTCGAATAATCAGGGTGAATATGGCTAATAGCTTTCGTGCACAGATCCACATACAATACTGAGATCATGGATTCCACGCGCGCTCCGATTCAGATGACACATGATAACACCACGCTGACTGTCAGTCAGCGGGAAGCAACCCGAGTGGAAGAGGATGCAAAGCGCCGGCTACTTGCATCGAGACGTCTGTCTTTGGTGGTAGATCTTGATCAAACAATTATTCATGCCACTGTCGATCCGACAGTTGGAGAATGGAAGGAGGACAAGGAAAACCCTAACCATGAAGCACTGCGGGATGTGCGACAGTTTCAATTGATTGACGACGGTCCTGGGATGCGCGGGTGCTGGTACTATATCAAGCTCCGGCCGGGACTGGAGGAATTTTTGCAAAATGTGGCTGAGATCTATGAATTGCACATCTACACTATGGGCACTCGAGCCTATGCTCAACATATTGCTGATATTGTTGATCCTACCCGCAAGCTATTCGGAGATCGAATCCTCAGTCGCGACGAGAGTGGAAGTTTGACCGCCAAGAACCTGCAGCGGCTCTTCCCCGTGGACACCAAGATGGTGGTTATTATCGACGATCGCGGTGACGTGTGGCGCTGGAGTCCCAACCTCATCAAGGTCTCTCCTTATGACTTCTTCGTCGGAATTGGCGATATCAATTCGAGCTTCTTACCAAAGAAGCAAGAAATTGCAGCGAAACAACAAGCGATCCAACCCAAAGAGCCCGCGAAGAAAAAAGAACACCATGTCAATGGCAAGTCTGAAGCAGGGACGGAGGTCTCAGCATTGGAGCAGTTAGTGACAATGGGAGGTGACCCAAGGCTGCTCCAGGAGCAGACTAATGCACAAGAAGAGACCATATTACACCAGGTGGAAGACAGACCTCTGCTGCAGAAACAGAAGGAACTGGAGGCAGAAGATGAGGTAGCTGAAAGCAACGAATCAACTTCCAGCATGGAAGACTCCCAGGAATCCATGAAACACCGCCACCATCTACTCGAGGACCACGACCAAGAACTCTTCCAGCTACAAAACCGACTTGAACAAGTACATACACAATTCTTTGACGAATATGACAAGAAGCGGACCCTCGCACTCGGGGGTCGGGTGGCAGCTCTAAGGGGAGAGAAGGTCCCATCGAAGGACAAAGATGTGGATCTGAAACTGGTCCCTGATGTCAAAGACATCATGCCACAAATCAAACGCCGCATTCTCGGAGGAGTGGTCTTGGTATTCTCGGGTGTCCTTCCATTAGGAACGGACTTCCAGAATGCCGACATCTCTCTCTGGGCCAAGAGCTTCGGTGTGATCATCTCTCCAAAGGTCAACGCCCGCACAACTCACCTTGTAGCTGGCCGCAACCGCACTGCCAAGGTGAGGGAAGCCACTCGCTACCCAGACATCAAGATCGTCACCACACAATGGCTTGTCGACTCACTGGTCCAATGGAGACACGTGGACGAGGAACCCTACCTACTCCCCGTCCATCCAGATGACCGCGGCGAACCTCTCTCCCCAGGCTCCCGAGAACAAGAAATGGCCTGGCTCTCCTCAACAGACGAAGACACGAATGCCTCTCAGTGGACAGAGGGTGACGATGCCGAAGGCTTCATGGATGAATCCGGGCTAGACTCAACATCGCCCATCGGATACGATGCCGAGGAGCAGGCCGCCGTGCACGACGAATTAAAAGATTTTCTCGGCAGCGACGACGAAAGCGAGAGTGACAACGAATCATTACCAGACGAGACAGCGGCAACTGGCACGAAGCGGAAACGCGGCGACGGAACTGAGAGCGGGACCGACGAAGAAGAATCCGGAGATGACGACGGAGATGAAGAAAAACGAGGCTCCCGATTGTCGCAACGCATTAAACGCTCGTACGAGCGGAACACCGGGCTCCGGGAAGTCGTCTCGGCCCCTACCGGAGGGGAAGATACATTAGTCCCGTCAGTTCCGCAAGAAGACGAGTCCGATTCTGAGACTCTGGAAGGTCGTGACCAGAATGCAAACCCCGATGACGATGACGACGAGCTAGAACGGGAAATGCTCGCTGCCTTGGAGGAGGGGGCATATGACCCTCAAGCGGAAGAGGATATCGCGGCTGAGAATGGATAAACTAAATGACTGTTCATTACTCCTGTGCCCCCGGTTCGTCCTGTCTCTTATTCACGGTCTCTTTCTGCCGTGTTCGCGTAAACGGTGTGTGCGTTGCAATGCGCTCCTGGCATAGCGACGGCGTTTATTATGGTCATTCGATTCTCCACATCTGGCTTTCGGCTTTGTGTTGTGGTCAACGTGGGTTCTTTTCTTTTCTTGTGTAATTTGTGAAAATTTGTTTATCTGCTATTTGTATGATTGTTTATATATAGGACCCATTAGCTGTTTAATACAGTCTAATGCTATTCTATTCTCACTTAAACCTTGGTCTCTACCTCATAGTGAACCCAACAAGCATGCTGATGCGTAGATGAGGTGCAATCCTCTCAGATTAAAGTATAAACAGATAAGCCAAGTCACTATCCAAGAAATAACTTATATACTTATAGAATTCAATGCTGTATCGCTCAACGCCAAAGATGCAACACATGGTATCAAAAAAGGGACATGAATCAATCATAAACATCACGATTAACCTGCCAAGACATAACGATCATCCATAAATAGAAGATAGTATTGACAAGTTCCAACGCAAAAGCAGTCTTCCAGCAATTGCCTAAAAAACAAGTCAGTCAGTAATGAATACAATACACAGAGGGTGTAGCGGTATGCAAGCGTCGAGAGAAACTCACAAATCGTACTCTGAGTCAACCAAGCCAAAGTATTGATATTATTTCCCCAAGACTTATTATTCTCCACATAGATCTGGCAATTGGCATTGACATCACCGACAATCCCATAAAGCTGCAGCGAGGTCTCAATCAAACCAGTCAACCATAACACGCAGAGTATAAAGCTGCCGATGATGATAATGCCGGGTAAGAGGAATCGACGCTCGGCGAGAACGAGAACAAGGAGGATGAATGCTACACCTAGAGCGCTTGTCACGACCATGAAAGGGAAGAGCCTGGTGGGGGTTTCTTAGTACATGTATGTATACGGTTGGATAGGACTGCAACAGCAAGTATTATATGAACCACTTACCAAGGCGTCCCGAGATGCATTTGCGATTGAACAGTCATAAACCACGAGAAAATACCCAGACATGTCGCTGAACATGACATGACAATCATGATCCAGATGTTGAGTTGTAACTCGGGCCAGTGGTACTTGCGGCGCGCTTCATGGCGGATGCGAATGGGCATTGTGTATTAATTGAGAATGAAGCGATTCCAGAAAAAAAATCGAAGTTGTTTGCGTTTGTTGTATGTTTGGGTGTGTGTCGAGGATTTGAATGAGATCGGACTTGAGTGTAGAGTCCAGTCCCTGGTGCGCGCTTTATACCACTCCCCGTCTCGTCCGTTTGTATACACTCCCAAATGCCCGACGCTAGTCTGGATGCCCTATGTTGAGTCGCTGGACCCAGAGGGAATAGACGAAGCGCGAATAGAGGTCGGCCGGGTGGATTTGTACAGCGAGGTTTTGTTTGATTGTACCGAAGGTGAGGTATTAGGTGTTAGGGAGCGGACAGCGCATTGGGCGTCTTCGCGCTGTGAGAGAGATAGGCTGGAGTTGGCTTGGAGTTGGTGCGACGGTGGAATGTACAAATGTACTACTGCGCATGAATTCCCCGAGAAAACTGAAGGAAAGAATAGCCAAGAGAATGTTTATGGAGGGTTTAGGGAGAAAAATAAAGAGAGGGGGGTTTGTTGATCGGGAAATTGAGGTGGCAGGGGATCTAGTCTGCCGCGTTGTCACTTCTTACTTTTACCGGCACTTGGGACTTTTCTTGCGAAATTGTGTCTATTGATCTAGGAATTCTTTCTCTCTGTTTGTTTATTCCCTTTCCCTTTTATTATCCCTTACAGCAAAGTGTCGCCCAATGCACTCCGCACCAGTGAGCACCCCGCGCGGATGGTCTCTGAGGCGCCCTTCTCCTCCAGGCTAGGGTTTACTTCCACCAAGTCCATTGCGATACAGTTGCCTGTCTCGTGCACAGCCTCGCAGATGAAGTCTCCCTCGCGCAGGGTCAAGCCACCACGGACGGGGGTGCCTGTGCTAGGAGCCCACTGGGGGTCCAGGGCATCGACATCGAAGGACAAGTGAATGGGAGTATCATTGCCAATATGAGCAAGAGCCATATCGACAACACGACCGATTCCGTGACTATTGGCAGAGTTAGACGATGATCACCCAAGACCAAGAGAAAACAAAACAAAACCATACCGGTCAATATCATGCATGCTGAATGCCTTGATACCATTGTCGCGGAGGATCTTCTTTTCTCCACGGTCGACATCACGCAGACCAATGTACACCAGCTTGCGCATGCTAACCATATGCTCATCCTGCAACCACCCAAAGATATCGCGCTTCTCCTCCCGGGCCAGCCGGGTCAAGAACGCCATGGGCATACCGTGGATGTTACCGCTGTCGCTCGTCTCGGGGGTATTAATGTCGGCGTGGGCATCGACCCAGATAACGGCCATTTCGCGGCCGAGACGCTCGCGGATAGCCTTGGCTGTGCCGGAGACGGAGCCGATGGCGATGGAATGGTCGCCGCCGAGGGTCAGCACGAACTTGCCTTCCTTGGCGTGGTTGTAGACCTGGGAGCTGAGCTTCTCTGTCACGGCGCTGACGGCGCGCGGCTTCTTCATGCCTCGGTGGTCCGGGTCTTCGGCGGGGATATCCTGCTCGTAGTAGTGGACTATGTTGTCATGATGGACGTCGTAGTCGAGGTCTTCGCTTAGTTGGGTGAGGAGGCCTGATTCGATCAAGGCCATCGGGGCTGCTTCGACGCCTTTCTTGCACTGTTGGGGTTAGTTGCGCTCATGTTGGTCTTGTAGAGGGTCTTACTTGACCACCGTTGAAACCGACGGCAACCACGCCCAGTTGGTTGGAGTGGGTAAGGAAGCGCGAGGCGATAGTAGAGGGCAGCGTCATTGTGTAGGTATTACAGGAATGTATCGTAGAGCAACGAAAGACAGAAGAGAGAGAAAGGTGAAAACTGATCTCAAGATCGCGATAAGATAAAAAGTGGGATTGATAAGGATCAGCTCGATCGTCGTTCAAGTTCAAGTAGAGAAAGGTGTAGTTGTTAGTTATTGTATAAAGAAAAGAACAGGAAGACCAGCTCTTCTTAAATGTCTCTGATCCCCCGAGTTCAACCGGTGCCCCCTTTCATTTCTTGCGCGTTGCACCGCAAAGTCGCTAAAAACTGCTTTTAGGGATCAGAGCGACTCCGCCGGATCTCCATCACTTCCGCTAAGTACAGGTCGAGGAGAGCTGCCCCTTTTAGGCCATTTCGGTGTCCCACAGGTTGTGCTAGGGCGTAATTGAGAGAGAAGTGACGCGGGATTTATGTGTAATGGCTTTGGAGAGTTATTTGGTCTTTTTTGCCGGGTGGTTGGCGGTTAGGGTGTACAACGTTGATAATATACAACGATATAATGGAAGTAGAAGTTGACGGCGTGAAAAGGGTATCATTACGACCACATAGTACATCTAATGTTACAATATATATATATATACACACTAAGACCCCAGAATCAGCTCTCGGAGGATTTCCTCTGCCCTGGGCGCCTCCACTCGACCCTTCTCGCCATTGCGCATCATCTGCCCCACGAACCAGCCGAGCTTCCCCAGCTGGTTCTTGGTGCGGATCTGCTCAGCCATTTGTGGGTTCAGGGCGATGACGGACTCCGCCAGCGCCACATACTCCTCCCGCGACAAAGGGCGGAAAAGGAGATTGTCCTCTTCCAAGATCTGTGGGACTGGTCGGCGGTCACCATCAAAGATACTGGACAAAACCACTTTGGCGGTCGGCCCGGTGATCCGCTTGCGCTGTAGCTGGTCGAGGAGGCGGGCCAGGGACTGGGCCGGGACGATGTCCGCATCCCATGCGCGATCTGCCTTGGAGAAGAGTCCTCCGAGTTCGTGCAAAACCCAGTTACCTGCCACACGTGGGAGACTGGCACGCGTTTTGTCGTCTTGGTCCACTTGGAGGGTGCGTAGGGCATCTACCACGTCGTGGTAGTACTCGAAGCGGAGACCGTTGTCTAGCTCGATCAGTGGCTTGGCGTCCTCGACGGGCAGATTATATTCGGATCCGACGAGCACTGAGATGACGGAGTCTGGTGCCGTGGGAAGATTTTCGGTAAGGCTGGACAGCAGGTCCTCTCCAATGAACAACGGCGGGATATCTGGGTCGGGCATGTAGCGATAATCGACCGAGCCCTCTTTTCCTCGAAGCCTGCGAGTTTCAGTGCTGCCAATTGTCCACCCACGCGTCTCTCCTTCGATGACACCGCCACTCTCGAGTACCGCGATCTGGCGGTTCTTCTCGGCGATGATAGCATCCTCTACTGCCTTGAAGCTGCTCAAGTTCTTGATCTCAGTACGCTGGCCTAGCCCGCTGATTCCATCGTATTGATGTTGTCCTGGTGACTCGCCCCGGCGTCGAATGGAGACGTTGACATCTGCACGGAGACCGCCAAGTTCCATTCCCGTTGTCACAGCACCACACGATTGGACTATGGCCTGGAGTTTCCGAACGCATGCCGCAGCCGTAGCGGGTGAGTGAATCTGCGGCATGGTGATAATTTCAATCAGGGGATGTGAGACACGGTTGAAATCGAGGAGTTGTGTCGAAGGTGGGTATTCTTGGGACTTGGCTGTGTCCTGCTCCAACTGTAGCTGTTTGATGTCGATGCGGACCCGTTCCCCATCTTCCGGTGCGATGCCATCGTAATCGAATAGGTCGACGTAGCCGTTCCGTGCGAATGGTTCTGTGAGAGATAAGTATTGTTCGAATCCCGAGCGCGAGGGTGCTAACCATAGTACTGTGTGATCTGATACCCCGCCGGCTGATCCTGGTAGAAGTAGTGCTTCCGGTCAAACCGGCTGATAGGCTGGATCTCACAGTTCAGAGCAATAGCGGCACGTAGGGCAGGAAGGAGGGTTGCGATTTGAAATTCCTGTTTCGTATAAGTTGTGGTCCTTCACAAGCGGTACATAACACCAACCGGTTGGCTGCCCGGGAACGCCAGGTCGAACAAAGCGACATTGGAATTGGGGATCTCGCTTGTCGAGGTTGGGGCTCCTGTTCAAACCATGAGATGCCTGCAGAGCAATTGGGGTAGAGACGCACTGACGGGAGAATAATTTGGCCTCTGTATCCAATTGGGCATGGATCTCCACGCCAACGGTCAGTTCCCATTCCTGCCTGGATGCTTCCTCGCTTTCCTTGCGTTGCTTCTTGTGTGACCGTAGCGCTTTGGCATCCTGCTTGAGTTGTTTGCGGAGGGGGACGTGATCTGCTTGGAGATAGCGCCTCGGAGCGGAAGAGAACGGGGCGATACGAGAAGGAAGGGTTGAGCGACTTAGTCGCGCGCAAACAGAGCGGACAGAACCGCTACCGAGCCATGGCCGAAGCATGAGGAGATTGGGCTGGTGTTGGGAGTCGGAAGAGGTGGCCAAGGTGAACTCGCGGAATCGAAGCTCCGGGCCTTGGCGATCTGCAGATCATACAACGCAACAAGTTACAGGTAAGAAAGCCAAGTAACTAGGAATGGTCTGACTAGTAGAATTGGAGAAATCAGACCAAACTCAATTCTATTAAACTTGAAATTGTTATTTGCATAATCTACAGAGTAGGGAGTACGGAGTAGTATACTGTATTGTTCTCTCTAAGTTGCTTCATGCATGAACATGAACATGCACACTACCAATACATTCTTGACACAAAGACTCTGCAGACCAGGCATGCAGAACATGCACCACCGTGGCGTTGTACTGATCACAAAAATCAGTCACATTCCCCCACTTCCTGACCGCTAGATGAACGCAAGGAGATCGACCAACGCAGAGTTTCTAACTCCGTTCAGACACACTTGCGTTGATTCGCATCTAATTTGTCGGAGGCCCACAAGTGCCCACAAGTGTCCAGAAGGTTATCGATGTCACTAGCTGGTAAATAGTCACTTTTTATGTTTACTCTCCCGACAGACCCGACAGACCCGACACAGAGCAGAAGAAAGCAACAAGATCCCAGATAAGCCCCTCCCCCTCGATCGACAGGGATACAGGGACCTCCTTGCGACATTGCCATTTGGCGCCGATCTGAAGCCCTCAGCGCTTCCAATCTGCTTCAGATTATCCCGAACTGCCTGGTGTGACGCGTGTGACGAATTGCAGTCCTCCATTACCCCAGGGTAAACACATGGGGCCCGTTTCAGCCCGCTGACGTGCGAACATTGGGGGCTTAATGTTCTATAATAATCTTACCTGACAGCCCCAGGGGGCCATACGCACCTTATCATAGGGAATGTTTGAAGGAATTCGCGGGGAAGATTGCAGACATTATATCATTTCTTTCATCATCGCCCCTAGATTCCCGTCCTCGATCTGAGACCTGAAATTCCCTCCCCTGGGCCATGCCTCGGATTCTACTCATTCCGTTGCGGATGCAATTATTGTGTTCATTTCATGATCTTTGAAATTCCCTGGATTCTCTATTCCTACGCGTGGGCAACCTTGATATCTATATCGAAGTATGAACCCGGTATAGTTCCGAGCTTCCCCGACTACCATGCCGCTCCAAATGCAGAGAACAAAGAAGGATGGAAGGAAGAGGACATTATCGACAGTGTCCAATGTTACAAATGTACATGGTCCTGTCGCCAGTGTGAAAACTTCTGAGAAAGCGTCGCCTTCACAACAGGCTGGATCAGATCAAACAAAGCCACCTGCCATTTCCGAGACCCAACCCCAGAAACCGGCAAGTTCGGCGAAGAAAGTACCTGATGTATTTCAATTTCTTGACCAAAATGACGACTCCTCGTCCGAAGCAACCTCGGATTCGTCAGAGTCATCAGAGTCGGACTCATCAGAGGATGAACAACCGACACCTCCACGACCAGTGCAAACTACCACCAATATCCAATCCCCTAAGCCGCGGGCAAATCCAGTTCCACATGGGATATTGATATCAGGAGGCAATGCGCCTGCAAAGAATGCTGTTCCCTCGCCTCCAGCATCGAAAAGCCCCAAGCAACAGCGCCGGCCCTCAGCACCCCACGCTCCCTCCACGGGTAATCAATTACAGATAGCCCGGAAGCAAACCAACCGAAAGCCAAGTCCAATCTCGACCAGTTACCCAACGTCTGGAAAGGGACAACTAGAACTGTCTCGCCCAGAGGGCTACTATACAAGAGACGAGGCCGCTCTCCACAGACCACCACTGCCCCCATCTCCCCCAAGAAGCCCCGAAGACGGTCTTCACCACACCACGCCAACAAAGAGACGAGACTCAACTACATCCCAGGTCTCATCAGGCTACGGGCTCATCGCCTCACACCTATCCAAGTCCACCCCAGAAGACAAACCCGGTTTCCCCCCTCTATACCGACGCTTCGAAAGCGTCAACCACCGCGTCCTTCTCCACCTACAGGATGAGATCTCCCAGATGGAAGAAGACCTCCACACACTAGACGAGTACGAGGAAATGCACCGAATCGGCACTGCAGAGCAAGAAGGCACAAAGCCCTTACCCGCTTCCAGACGCCGCGACTCCCAGGCCCAGGTCTATTCATCACTACACTACCGCCGCATGGATCTCATGGGTGCCCTAATCCAGAAGACCGAGCAATATAGTAAGCCCTATCACATTAAGCCCACGCTTCCATTAGAAAAGAACAGCCCTAACAAAACCCAGATAATGCCCTAAGCTCCTACAGCAAAGTCCTCCAAACCCTACCCAAAGCCTCAGAAAAAGACATCGACGGCTATCGCACCTGGATGAAAGAAAATCATCCCATCGCTTCAGCCGAAACTCGATTCTTGAACCACGATGCTGATCTCGTGTCCCTGACGCCGCGACTCGCTGCAGGAGCCGCTGCGGCCCCTGTCTACGTTGCGATCATCATTGCTTCCGGCGCACTGCTTCTACCGCTATTGGCATTTAGCATGATTGCCGAGTTTTCGGGCCGTCTTGTCGTTGTGACTGTCGTTGGCGGTGCGGCGGCTGCCATTGCAGCGAATTATTCGGCTGGTGTTGATACTCTTGTTGATTCGAGGGATGGGTGGCGGTGTGCTACTATGTATGTTTGCTTTGCTCTGCTTTACCTTTTTCCATTGGTCTTGTGTTGAATGACGCTGACTCTGTTACAGATACTTTGGGTTCATGACCATCGCTGCCATGTTCATTCCCTAATTCTTATGTTTTTTTCTTATGATTAACGAATCTCCTATATCCTGATTTTGTGCTATGTCGATGATCTTTTTAATTTGGCGAGGAATGACGAGGGCAAGGGACATTCTGTGTAAAATCAAAGCTGCACATTTAGATGTGAGAATTTGGGACACAGGGAGATGGAATTTGGCATATAATTGTCTCGGCCCTGTTGGAATGGACTATGGACTATGGGCATTGGGTTGGATGATGGACTGGAAGATAGGATAGGAGTTTGATATGTTCGGGATTTATGCTATTCACTGTATTATGATGAATGAATCAAGGTAATCTTTTGACAAGCCGTTGTTGGCTACGACTTTACGCGCCAGATGATCTGTAGTGACCTGTATAGTCCAAGGTAACCACCAACCATGAGGTCTTCTACTTGACAACATCATGTTGTAATAGCGGTAACTTCACAGCACAGTGCACATAACTTGAAAGTTGAAATACCCTGGATTGCCACTGTATATGGATGGAACTGCCTTTAAAATAATAAAAATGACTGATTTTCTAAACCGAGCAACAAAAAGAAGAGATAGAACTGCATCGTAACCCCGTCTTAGAAAAAAGAACCATCCACGCCAGTCGCCGAGTTAGGCCATAATACAACACCGAATACAAAAGAATCATCATACACAGCCATAGATCAAAAGGTTCATTAACAACACAATCGGAGAAGGATAAGTAAGAGCACGAAGCGAGGAAATGGAGAAAACCCGATTGCAGAATGCAATGTTGAATCATTGAAAGACTAAACTTTTGCTTTCTGAGCTCCCCGAAGCATTCTCAGATAGAAGCAAAAACAAATGAAATGAGATAAGCATAACCTGTACCTAAGCAGGGGTACCATTCTGCCTGCTTCCAGGTGTTGCGCTGCCCTCTTGGGACTCCAGACCCTGTGGCTGTGGGGTTGATGGGCTATGTCTGGTGTGCTGAGCTGCCAGCTGGGCCTTGTTACGGTCCATCAATGCAGCTTGTTCCGCGGCACTGCGGGCATATGTAGCAGCTGCTGCGGAGTTCGCAGCAAAGCCTGCCTGGGAAGGGGTTTGGTTTGAGTACTGGACTCGTTGGGGTTGGGTTGAGCCCGCGGGGGTGTAGGGCGTGCGGCCCTGTGGCGTGGCGTTGAAACCTGGCTGACCAGGTCGTGCTGTATAGGGTTGTGGTGTACCTTGGGATGATTGCCCTTGCTGTGCGGCATAATATCCGTTAGGAGCGGGGCGCTGATACTGGGCGCCCTGGCTCGATTGTGAGTATTGAGAGGGATGGCCGGGGCGTTGTTGGCTGGGTGTGCTGGGTGGACGACCCGCACCATAACCCTGGGTGTATGTGGTTTGTGCTGAGGATTGGCGCACATGCTGAGGGGTGACCTGGAAACCGGGTTGAGATTGTGAAAGACGGGCGTTGGAGGCAAAAGCGCGCTGGTTATAGCCAGACTGAGACCCTTGGTAATTAGGAGGTCGCGGGGCAGAGGGTGTGGAATTCCGGTTCGCCGCAGTGGTCGCTGCCATCAGTGCTGCAGCCCTTTCCTGTGACAAAGTAAAGTCGTCCTTTTCCATGGTACCGTTATAGTCGGGAGTATCAACCAAAATCTTCTGGCTGATATTCAATTCAGACAGCTGGTGACCATCCAACTTAGCAACAGCGTAAGGAGGCAGGGTGCTGATGATCGCCACAAGACTTGATTTGAGCGTATCGTAGACGCTGAATTCCGCATCAGATGGCGTGCTCAGGTCGCTAGCATCAGGAGTAGGGGTTTCATTCGCCTCAGAATCTTGGCGGGTGGGTGGAGAAATAGGTTGATCGAGGTTTCGAATCCGCTGGTAAGAACTGAGGGTGTCCAGCAATCCAGAAATATCGTCCAGCATGTCCTTGATCTCTCTGGATTCGGGGTCGTCATCAGGTTTAACATCGATTTGTGTAATATCTTGAGCAAAGTCCTCAGGGTTGAATGACTTGACCATCTCGTCTAGAGTACTCTCATCAAGTTCACCAATGTTGCCAGGCTGAGCTGTTGTGCCATCTTGTTTTGTTTCTCCGTCAAAGGGAATAGACAGCAAGGTGCTCAGGCGGCTCGCGCCTCGTTGGCCCCACCAAACCATGTTCTTTGAATCATGCTGCACAATTGAGTTGGAGCTGTCGAAAGAAGGTGCGAATGAGGAAAAGACGCCCTGGAGAGCAGATGAATCGATGCCAGTCCAAAGAGCAGGATCACCCGATTTGTGAACAATATCTGAGTCTGTATGTTGTTTCTCAACACGATCCCAGTAGGCTGGCGACGAGGTGATTCCGCCGTATTGAATCCATTGAGTAGAGGGGAGAGGCGCAAGGCAATAGTTGCTACGCTCACCTAGGAATGCCTTGCTATCGAATGTGGCGTCGAAGCGATCAATCCAGGTGACTGAACTACTCCGGTGGGATCTTTTGCGCGGAGGTTCCAACGGTGGCAATGATTCACGTGGAGCGAAAACTTCACCAAATGTCCGTTTCGGTAGGGATGCGGCGGCCAGGTTATAAGGAGCAACCTTAGTGGTTGTGATGCCATTGGGCAAGGAGGTCTCGCGCAACTCCTCCTGTACTTCAACGAACTTCTCGGGCCCGGAGTCGGACTGCAATGGCACCTTCATGGATTTTTGAAGACTTGAAAATAGCTGCCGGGGGTGTGCTGGATTTCCAAAGAGGGTCAATGCGTGCTTGTCCTCTCGGGTACAAAAATTGATCGCGTGGAGATCTGTCGAATCATCATCATCGTCTTCCATTGCCTCGGTCTTGATTTCAGCCTGGTTGACATAAATTTGGCCAACTAAACTGTTCATGTGTTTTTTAAATGCTGCAATCTGATTGACCACCTCGGTCAAGGGCGCACTGTCGTCTTTTGTGCCATTCACCTGACCTTGATTGCGTTCAATTACAGCAGCCGACGCTCTTTCGATGTCAGAAAGAAACTCTTGCAGGGTGCTGTATCGGTCCGAATTGACGCGCGTTTGTATGTTGGAGGTATCTTGGTCACCCGAAACCTTTGCGCGCTTCGTTCGAGGCTTAGTTGTAGATGTTGGGAAGGGGCAAGAAAGGAGTTGCAGCTCGGTATCATGCCTAGTAATTGTCAGAGAGGTGGGCCAGATATATATGAGCCTGATAATAGCTTACTTGAGTAGAAGTCTGATCAGGTTGCGGAGAGTTTCGTGGAGGTTTGCTCGATCGCGCGGCGCAGAGGAACTGGAATCATCTTGGGTGGACCGCTTCCTCTTTCCGGGAGTTGCGATCATAGTGGTATCATGGGAATCGCCATTTGTGGCGGAAATGGCGGCCGTCTCTCCAGCTTCGTCGGCGCTCATGGTTGCAGAGTCGCGCCTAAGTTGACTTTATTTGACGCGGTCCCCTTCAATGCAGATGGTCGGGGTCCACAAATTAGAGAGCTGGAAGTGAAGGTTGCGAAGTCGCGATCGCCGAAGAAAGTGTTGCAGGTGGGTTGGTGTGAAGCTGCTCCACGAAGCAACCGTGCGAGGAGGCTCGATGGATCAAACCCGAATTCGAAAGGAGGAGCGAATCGCAAAGAGGGGAGAGAACCACAAAAGGAATCCCTCGAAAATGAGAGATAGAATTATGTACCGAAGGTAGTAAAGTCCAGTGGGATAGAACAATGGAAAATGTAGCGAAGCAGGTAAGGGTCACGTCTGTTTTGCGGAGGGCGAGACGGATACAGTTCTTGACGCTCAGAATGCGCGCCATCCCGAAAAGCGCAACCCGTGACGATCTATCACGTGATCTCTCATTTTCTGCCGAGTTCGAGACGCGATTGTTTTCTGTCTCGATATCTCAACTTCTGAGACAAATACCCATGACTACGTTCATGGATGTCATCGGTTCTCAAGAATGCCCGAAGCCTTTCGGGAATACCGGGGTTGAGAGCATACCTGCTCAATAGAGATCGGTTGTGCCAGGTAATGCTAATCGGTCCTATACTACGAAGCCTGTGCTAATAGCTTCGACCTTAGACACAGTTACGCCGAGCCACACAGCATGATATCCCAGGCGATTTCCGCTCTTTTCAATCCACACCCTTCCCGAATGAACCCGATCTACCTGCAACCGACACCAAGCCCTTATCCTCATACCTGAATGAAAATCCACCCAGCGCATCCACAAAATCCCCAAAATCGACGGATAACCACATATCTGAAGGCGAAAATCTACCTAGGAATGCTGCCAGCATTAAAGTGAAACCGAAACCCGCCGAATATCTCTCCAAAGCTTTGCGCAACACTGGTCATGCTCTTGGAAACGATCAATCGACCGCATCTGATTGGCCTCAATTGGCACATGGGAGGCAAAATGCGAGGACGGTTGGTCGACCGAAAAAGCCGTCTCTGCCGGTGCTCCTTGGGGAGTATATACGAGAGGTAGACCCATTGTTATCACCTACGTCGGATAACCTCACGGGGAGCAAATTGGATACTGCTCTCAATGAAGTGTTCAGAAAGAAGAGCCATGATTATTTGACCTCGCGTGGCTATGATGTTGCCGATGTCACTGCATGGGCGTGGATCATGAAGAGCCGGAATTCTCATGAGGCTATGGTGCGGTTATTCTTGTTGGAATCCGACAATGCCAAATCAGTTGCGAATACCCCGACAATCCCGGCTTTCATCCCACTCCATATTCTGCGACAACAACATCTCGATGCCCACACGTTTCGTCTGCTTCTCATCTATTCTTTGCATCTCATGAGCGGACAACCGCTTCCGGGCGTGTTCAACCCTGCCAGAGTCCCCGAAGATGGGTCCGAGCTGATACCCGAGGAATTCCATCCCAGTATAGATTCGGGAACCTGCATGATCTTGGTGGTTCGCCTAATTCGTCATGCTCGACGTGTGTGGCCCCAAGCCCTCCTCACTATCGCACGTGCATTTGCCCGCTTTCTGGCAGTTCCAAAGACCGAGGAGACAGAGAGGTCCATTTTGGCAGCACGACACCATGATCGCAGGAAAACCACTCAGTTTAACAACTGTCTCTGGTTACTTTCCCTACCAGCCAAGATTGCTCCTTACCGCTCGACATCAATCCAACAGCAGGCGCAGTTTGAGCTTCTTAGGGCCATGGCTGCCCACACGCCTGTACTTCCCGTCTCACGGCAAGGATATCGTGCAGTTGTTGCAGTTCAGCTAGCTCACAAAAAGACGAAAGAGGAGCGACAATCGGCCGAATTGAAAGCCCCGTCTTGGCCTCCATGGAAAGAAGAAAAGCTCGGAATTGACTCCCAGCGCGGCAATGACGGAATGTACAGTCGCGCGATGCAAGTACTTTCGCAAATGAAGGACGCGGGATATTCTCATCGCCTTTGGGAAGATATCTCTTCCATCCTAGCGGGCTGGGATACAGATGGCAGCCCAACAGTGCAGACGAGAGCTATGATGCGTCGTCCAAAGGCTTTCTCGGACACTCACAGATACAACTTGGATCACCAGGAAGTTTGGGTTTCCCGTATTCGTTCCACGAGAACTGTACGCGAAGCCTGGGCCTGTTTTCTATCCTACCAGGACCGAGGCCTTCCCCCCAAGGCGGCCATATATGCTGCAATGGCCGAAAAGTTGATCTACCGACGAGCTACAATTCAGAATGGGATTGAGCAGATGAGCCATACCCTCCCAGGCGATGGCCGCGAAGTTTATCCTGAGCCGGATTCTGCACGCGACATTATATATGTGCCCGTAGAGCCGCCCACGCTGGATGAATTAATCAGCCAGATGCTCTCACATGGGCTCCGGCCTTCCGGGAGGTTCCTTGGTTTGCTGCTTCAGTCGGCTTCTTCCTTGCAATCAGGTCTGCATTACCTACAATGCAGTGGCCTGACAGAGGCTCAAATCTCCATCTTATCGACTATAAGAGTCAACTCTCGCAAATATTCGACATTGGACCTTGAAGCTTTCCAAGCAGTGCCGGACTATGTGTTTGCATCGTTCATCAAATTCCTCTGTGCGCATTCTGATATAGTCTCCCTGGATGTCAATCGCGGAGAGATACTCACAGCCGATCGCTTCCCTGCTCTTGTAGCCACTACACGCAGGACTGGTCCGAAGACGGATCTTTTTTCGCATATCAAGAAATATCCAGGCCACGGGCATTATCCCAGAGGTCTATGGCATGCAATTCAGCTGACCAAATTGCGGCGCGTCCCCTACACCCCAGCTTGGACCCATATTTTGTCTGCCTTGACTCGTGAACGACTAAGTGAAAATCACGGACTAAGAAGTCGAAGCCTTCAACGCGTGCTCTCATGGCACCAGGCTCTGAAGACCTTGAGCTGGATGCGGCAACGTGACATCGAGCCTGGCGAGGAAGGATTCCGTATCATCTGTGTGGCGTTCGCACGAGCCATTGAAGCTGCCATTAGGCACCCTGGAACTGCCGAGCATAGCTTTATGCTGATTGATAAAGCTCAAATCCGTGATCTCAAAGCCGACAGCGAAGGCGATAGCGACTTCGAGGCGTTGTTGCGACGTGCGTTACATGTCTTGAAGGATCAGTTTGATCACCTCGTTCTCCCAGCATCAAAATCCTCAGCGCATGCAGAACGCAGTGTCTTTGCAGATATTTCTTCCAATTCGCCCCTCAGTGTTCCTTCCATACTCCACACACCATCACCTGCTACACTTCACGCTTTTGTCCGGGCTCTAGGATCCGTTGGGGATGACGATGGACTGTTACATCTACTGCATTGGATGGGTCAATCAGCCGATCAGCTCAGAGAAGCTGCAGAAGAGCACTCAAATGGCGACAGAATGATGCGGCGAACCCTTACGGCGATCAGGGTGTTCCTGGAGAGAAGACACCGACGAATGGACACGCGGGTACCGTCGGACCTGATCATGCAGGAGGCATACGACTTAATCAGCCGGACAGGCTGGGACTGGCCGAGTGATGCAGAGGTTGAGGATTATTGCCAACCATTGTAATTATAGTGTATTTCTAAAGTTCCCCAATGTACATGATACCCCATACATCTTGTAGCTCGGCAAACGTCGGCATCGGAGCTTTCCCCACACCCAAGCAACTTTCAACTTTTCTAGTCATTTCCTCTTCTCCTGCAACGCGACCGCATTCCAGCACGTTTTCTACTACTATATTGACCGGCGATGGCAACGATCATGTCCCCGCGTCTCGTGCGCCTCACCGCCCCCCTCGCCGTTCGACCGACCGTCTCCTCTACCCGGGTGTTCATCTCACGATACAGCACCGCCGCCGATGAAGACGTCATCAAGACCTCGCAAGTACCAGCCCCAGGCTCGGGACATGTGCGTGTGCTACAACTGAACCGACCCAAAGCCCGCAACGCCATCTCGCGCCACTTACTCGACACGCTATCGAAGCAAGTGAACGCCATCGCCGCGGAAGGGGGCAACGGCCCAACCCGGGCTCTGGTCGTCGCGAGCAGCGCAGACGCGGCATTCTGCGCTGGCGCAGACCTAAAGGAGCGCGCCGGCATGACAATGGCCGAGTATGGAGCCCGCCTCCTTGCGGGTGTAATATCCGCAACTTACATTGCCCATTGCTAACAACTCGATGTAATACAGGACAGAAGATTTCCTCCTCAAGCTCCGCGCAACCTTCAAAGACCTCGCCTCCCTCCAAATCCCCACAATCTCCTCCGTCTCTTCCATGGCCCTCGGAGGTGGCCTCGAGCTCGCGCTATGTACCCACCTGCGTGTCTTCGCCTCGTCCAGTATTGTCGGTTTGCCTGAGACCCGTCTGGCGATTATCCCAGGTGCGGGCGGTACATACCGACTGCCCTCGATCATTGGGGTGAACCGCGCCCGGGACATGATTCTCACCGGCCGCCGGGTGACGGGCCCCGAGTCCTACTTCATTGGTCTCTGTGATCGTCTCGTCGAGGTGTTGCCCGAGGAGGAGGCGCAGGAGGGCGTTGCTCGTGAAAGAGTTCTCCGTGAGAGTATCAAGCTGGCCCTGGATATCTGTGAGGGTGGCCCTATCGCCATTAAGATGGCTCTGCAGGCTGTGGACGCCTATACTCTTGGTGAGCGGGCGGAGAATGCGGCTTATGAGGGTGTTATTGAGACAGATGATCGGCACGAGGCGCTGCGCGCTTTTGCCGAGAAGCGCAAGCCTGCTTTCCGTGGGAGGTAAGGGTGTTATAAACCATGAATGGACATAGTTCCAAAAAGCTATAGGCTAAGAATAAAGAGCTCTTCTATGCCAAGGGCTTATCATGATACTCCTGGAAAGTAGCAAAGATGGTTTCTTAAACGGACTGCGTTTGTTCACCGCGGTGTAGTTAGGATGAGGTGTATGCCCTAGATGTCACATATTTTGTAGTCAGGCACCGCAAGCTATCATGTGGTTTCAGTTGCCTTTTGTGATCATGGGGACGAGGCAATAATTGTGGCGAAAGGCTGGGGGCATGATGTATGATTTGCATGTAAAAGCTTTTGCTCTCCGCGAGTGATATCTTTCGGTGACTCGGAATAGTTGCAGTTCCATAAAAATGATTGCCTTCGAGTCATCCGGCATCTTCCTTGGAAATCGACGGGAGGATCATAACTTTATTTAGATCAGACTTGACTATTAGTTCTGGCCAGGTCTTGCTTGTTCAACTTCTGCCTGCTAGATCTATATACTTCCCGGGGTCAACATGGAATTATTATAGAAACATAGCCCACAGCCTGACAATATACAAATCAAAATACCCAGGTACAGGCATATCTCTTAGAAGAAAATAATCTAATTATGGGTAAGGACACCCCTGCTGTAGCTTGAAACTCGTATTCAGTAAGATTGCTGGTTTCGGAGCCAAAACCCCGACTTTTTTTCTAGGCCTCCCTTTGCCCTTCTCTCCCATGGTCGAAGGTCGAAGGTCGCATTAGATGGTGAGTCACCAGGCCTCCATATTCCGCAAGGCATACCAACATGCAAATGCAGGCTTGGATGCATGTAATACACGGCTGTACCTGGCATGCCCGATCTCGAGGCTGTGCTAGTACCCCGGGTTAACACCCAATGGGCAATCCGAACTCACCCCCGAGGCACCGTAGGGCGCAAGACAGATCGAAACAGTAATCTGCATATCCATACTAGGACTAGACTGGAGAAACCCCATGGATCTTCAGGAATGGATACGCGGGTGACCTGGGTCAGGGGAACAGCCACAGTCACCTGCAGGAAATATATAAACCGCGCTCTGTGAGTCGCTCCTGCTCTTCCAACTTTACACCTTTCTACTATGGCGATAGCTTCAACTACTTTTTTGTATGATGTCTAAGCCCCTCCCCATCAAGCCCTTTGGCTTGTCGCAGATCTATGTCCCGCGCGACGAACCCAAGGTTGATATTGTCTTCGTTCATGGCTTGAACGGCAGCCCTCATGACTCTTGGACGAGTAAAACTACCGGTTGTTTCTGGCCGGTTGACCTTTTGCCAGATATCCTTGCTGCGCAACGTCCTCGCATCCTCACCTATGGCTACAACGCAAATGTCACGGCCTTCACGGATGGTGTGTCCCGGGACTCGGTCGTTAGCCATGCTGAAACACTCGCCTCGAGTCTTGCTGCCAATCGAAGTGTAAGTTCTGCTATTCTTATCCTTCTGTATTCCTTTGATATATCTTCTAACCTGGGTCTCTACAGCTGAAAGAGTGCTCCGACCGCCCAATAATCTTCGTCTGCCATTCTCTGGGAGGTCTCGTTGTGAAGCGTGCCCTCATATACTCCCGCAGTCTCTCAAACGAGAAAACCGAGCATCTTCGCTCAGTGTACGTGTCGACCTTCGGCATTCTATTCCTCGGTACCCCGCATAATGGCTCTGATATTGCGAAATGGGGTCTCTTGCTACACAATATCTGCAGCGCCGTCCTTCCGAAGAAATTCATGGAGGCATCTCCGCAGCTTGTCAAGGCTCTCCGGACAAACAATGAGACCTTGCAGCATATCAACAGTCTTTTTGTAGACATCATGGGCCGATTCCATATCTATTTCTTTCACGAAACGCGATCTACAGATGTACGAGGCACTCGAGAAGTGATTGTGGACGAAGCATCAGCGGCTCCTTATATGGAAGGCGTTGAGCGGATGGGTATTGAGGCAGATCACAGTCACATGTGCAAGTTTGACGATGAGAATGCTGCTGGTTATGAGGTGGTGGCTGAAGCTATTCTCCGATACTCGCGCCAGGCTCCTACTATCATCAAAGATCGCTGGGTGGAGGAAAGGAACGTCCGCACACAGGAAAAGAAAGCCAAGGCCAGAGAAATCTATGACGGTGAGTCGACTTATTTCATACTCTGAATGATGCTCTTCTATGCTTTCAGTATTCTTTTCAGTGCTCTTTCAGTCGTACCTTCGATTACATCTTTGATTCCGTCCTTGACATATACTAACTATTGCAGGAAGAGTAGATGACCCAGCGAATAGAAGCATGCCAGATTTGAATAGACCTGGTATGACACACCTTCTTCCTGCACCCGAGGAGTCAGTCACGCTGAGGAGCTATGAGATTGAGGAGCCTGCCGTTTAATGACTTTGTTTGAACTCCAGTTGGCGTTGCTTGGTTAAATCACATTCTTGTCTTTGCTTTCATCCCTCTATTGATGCTGAACCCAAGGGACCACATACTTCAAATCAATTATTCCCTTCAGACTCGGACTGTGCTCATATTCCATGTACTTAGTTGCTCTGGGTGGCTCCCATCTTATGTCCTCAATAGCTGACATGACTTATCTTGCACTTTATTCCCAGAGTCAGACCTGCTGACTTTCGCATAGTCCAATCCGTACCAACTCTGCCGCCTGCTGCTGCAACAGAAGGCCGCAACTCGCCCGTTTCTGATCTGGGAAACAGTGGACTCGAATTCTCCCATTATTCCCTCACAAGCCCACCGCTATTCGTGGCACCCCCGGGCTTCCATCCAAATGCCACATTTTTCGGCATGCAAAAAGAGCTTGAAGTTTTGCATAATCGGTTGTTCAAAGCCAAGTCGCGTGCAGAAAGGACTATGGCTGTTTTGATCTCTGGCGTTCCAGGTTCTGGCAAGACGCATCTAGCGCGACAGTATGTGTTCGCACAACGCGACTGTTACCCAGGCGGAATCTTCTGGATTGATGCCAAGTCCCGCGAATCAGCATACAAATGTTTCTGGGAGATTGCCCAAGCCGCCACGCTGGTTGACCACAAGGAGACCGTAGAACCCGAGTATCAGGAAACCCAGAGGTATGTAAGTGCCGTCCGGAACTGGCTTCAGACACGACAGGATTGGCTTCTGGTCTTTGATGGGGTTACCTTTGACCGGGACGATGATATCAACGAGTTCAGGTCTTTCTTGCCGTGGAATCGCCAGTGCAGTATCATTTACACCTCGGTCGACACGACGTTGCGGAAAAAGCAGCGACTGTATGAGCCCTACTGTCTGATGATCTCGAGGATGCACGTCGAGGACGCTTGCAATCTTTTGTTTAAGGACGTTGGGATCACCCGACCTACAGCCGAACAGATATCCAAGGCTACCCGGATAGTAGAGCACTACGAGTGTTTACCTTTGGCGATCCATGCTATTGGTCATCGTCTCAATGCCACAGGAAAGCCCATTGAGAAGTATCATGTCAAATCCCAAGTGACCGACAAGAAGCTCGCGGAACCATTCTTGAGCATCATGAATGATTTGTTTCGTCTGCAACAAAGACAGGCATTGCATTTGATTAACCTCCTCTCATTCCTTGGCCACCAAGTTCCCGTTGGACTTCTGAACCTCGGTAGGGCTGCCATGACCGCCGAGAATTTGGAAATCCAGACCAGTGCCCAAACCGGAGAAGAGCCTGATCTTGATAATACCCTCGGAACACTCATACACTATGGACTGATCGAGAGGACCTCCGATGCGGGCGTTGTTCGACAAACCTCATCTTTGCACCGGTTTGACCACCAGTCTGATGAGGAGACAGCCGGGGACACCAAGCCTGTTCCTGAAATCTCGGACTCACTAAATGAGAGCAGCCAGGAAGGATTCTTTTCCATTTACCGCCACAATTCGGCGGTCGACGTGGTCAAAATCCACAGTGTGGTCCAAGGTTTCTGCCGAGATGAGCTCCGAATCAAGGACGAAGAGTATAAGGGTGCCATGAACAAACATGACCCAGGGTTTTACGATACCTGGTTGATTGTTGCCACTCGGTTTCTCATCAAATCCTACGAAGCCGCTAGGGAGAGAATGGCCCATTACCAGGACTGTGGCCTTGTTCGGGACTATCGAGAATACGAAACCCACGCTTCGCGACTGGCTGAGCTCTTTCCAAAGAGACCTTTGATGGGTTCACATCCACCCATCGTTCGTGAAGCACGAGAGGGCCTGCGTCGCCTGCTGAAGAGCATAAGCAAAGAGATCGAGAATCTCTCTCCTAGCTCCTCGCATCACTCCTCCGGTAACCAAAAGTCTGTTTTTGATCGCTCAAGTAGCTCGTCTTCATCCTTTCCCGATTCTTCGGCAGACGAAGGTATTTCGCGACAGAATACATTCAATTGGGATGACATTGGCTCACCTCGAGCGGAATCCCCTGAGCAGATGGCAGTGCCACTTCCTCGCTTCAGATTGGAGCTGTTCCCTCCCCATATATTCAGAGGACCTGGATATGAGTCGGAAGAAGGCTATGAAACTGATGGGGAAGCCAAGGCAGTTGTTCGAGTCTCTCCAGCTTTGTCACAGTTAAGCAATACTACAGAGAAACCGAAACCGCCCCTTTCATCGAGCCCCCCAGTTATATCCAGCGAACAGGAGTGGCAAGTGGTCAATCATCACCAAAAGCCAAAGCCAAACCTACCCAAGGGGAGAAACCAGAAAAGGCGGAACAAAGGCCCTCGAAACTTTAGAGACGCCAAAGCCGACACACCACTCGCAAAAGTATCCTCTATCCAGGGACGAGGATCCTCAAGTCGGACGACCTCGGCTGAAACGGGGAGCTCCTCAATACTGGTTTCGGAGGCTGAAAGAGCGCTCGCTGCAGTGCGTCGATATAGCAACTCCCAGGCGTCCTCTGAAAGTTCACAGCACACGGCTACCTCTCTTCCATCGAATCCGCCAGCGAGCAACGAGAATATGCCGACATATGCAAATGTGGCCACCCGGCGAATCATAGAGGCGGAGTCAGCTGTGAAACGTCCATCATCAGTGCCTGTATCACACGCGCTAGATCCTGCTAGTGGCGTGCAGATGAAGCCTTCCACTGAGTCGCTTGACAGTCAAATGGGCTATGCCTTCGCGTCACCACTCTCTCATGAATTGAGCTCTCACGAATTGTTAGTGGAACCTATGAGTCTGTCAACATACAGTGAGCCTGGTGATAATATCTTTGGTCGCCAGATGAGTGACGTTGACTATCACACTGCACCTGGATCACGATCTCATTCTCGCCGTGCCTCAATCGCCCAATTCGAAATTCCCCGGAATTTGTCTGCAAGTGTGCCATCTTTCTTTCCATACCCGCCACCGTTACCCTATGATGAGAACATTGCTATCAGCATCCCGAATCTCAGAAGACCATCAAAAACGTCAGGCGCAAGCACCCCATCGGGATTCCCCGGACCTGGTGCCATTTCTCATCCATCTGCGATCATGCCGGGCTCATTCCCGCTCTCACAAAATTCAAGCCTACCCATGGGTTCTGCTCCCGAGCGGCCAACTGCAGAAGCACTATCGCGTGGCTCATCTGCGTTTTCACATCAATCGTGGGCGACAGAACCCGTACGATATCCACCGCGGTTCTCGCCAGTCCCAAGTTTTCAACACCAGCCCCCAGAGATAGCATCTGCTGTACCCCCACACACCCAACAACAGCAATTACTCTCTGGAATCGGAAGCTGGACAGCCGAGTTACCCTTGGCGGACAGCGCCCTGCCGTCCGACCCTACCATCACTGGCCCACCACCATCACACGGGCGACTAGGGTCAATGGATGAACGACTGAAACTCACCGAGCCGGGATTCAACCCTGAACTTGAGCCTTCACAGTACTTGCATTTCGGCGGCTACCGCGTCGATGTCCGAGATCCACGTCACCGGCTGAGCGAGTCTGCTCGGCCCCAGGCGCCACGTCGCGTACCTCAGTACCAACTGTATCATCCCAATCTATCCGGTCCTTTAATTCAACACGATGGTCATTTATATGCACCTGCCCCACCATTGGAGGTGTATGGAAAACGAGCACGAAGTGGAAGCTCGCCTTCACGTCCGAGCTATGATGGTCTCGGTGTGCGATTCTCTTAATCTCAGAATCCTGTTTGTCTTTATTGTTTCTTGTTTCCGTGCAATTGCATATATACGGTCATTGCTGTAATGCGTTATCTCTCTTTTACCACCTGGTTGCATCTGCTGTTCTAATCTGCATCTGATCGCGCGTTATCATCAAAGGTAGGGTTGAATGATACCCGGAAACATCGTCTTTGACAGGAGTTTGGCATTGCATTAATTGACCAAAACCATAGCATCTAGAGGTGGCTCAAGGAGCATAGCATGGAATGCAATTCTTCAACGCTTCCCATCAAACCAAATGCATATCACTTGTACGAGCAACCATCTGTTTTAAACATGAAAGAAATTAGAGCCAAGTTAACTATTAAAATAACCCCCACGAGAGTTAAAAGAAAAAAGGTAAAAAAAACACCGATCACCCTCGCTCAAAGCCCAAATTCCCAAAGACCATATAACAAACCACCCATTAATAACTTCCCTTCTCACCAACATCAGCCTTAGTAACCGCCACAGCCCCTTTCTCAGCAATACCAACAGCATCTATAGTATTATATCCCTCACCCCCAGAAACATCCGAGTCCTCAACATAATCCTTCGGCTCCATCCACCCAGTCCCCTTCTCCATGCCAGGTGGAGCAGAAGCCAAGCAACTCAAATAGTAAACCCCAAAAGCAATAATCAAGCCGGTGGGATAGGCAATATAATAGAACCGCTGGATGCCCATGGGCGCCTTGACGCCCATTTGGTGCAGGAATCCGTAGAAGTTAGGCGCTATAGCCACGACATAGGCGAGGAAGGCGCGCGGGTTGAAGCCGTGGAAGTATCTGTATGGACTTGGCTTTGAGATGTACAGCGCTGGGATATTGAGATAGCCGCGGCGAATTAGGTAGTAGTCGCAGATTAGGATTCCTGCTATTGCGGAGAGGAAGATTTGGTAGGATGATAGGAAGGTTATGAAGATTGAGGCGCTTGCTAGGAGGTACCAGGGGCAGATTGCATAGGAGAGGACTGGGCGTTGTTAGCAGTGGTTCCTTTTCTTTTGGAGGGGGGTTGTGTGTTCTTGTGTTCTTACCGGCGCAGATGAAGAAGCCTCGTTTGATTGTGATGTATTTTGGTAGTAGGGCTGCGATGTCGTTGCCAGCGCTGGAATATGTTAGATATTCTCTGGTTTTCTCGGGTGAATGGAGCATCCTTACGGAATGGAGTTCTCGAAGATGGCCGAGAAGACTGTGGAGTAGACGAATGCTAGGGAAATAAAGGCGCAGGCGGCACGGTTGCCATGGGTATAACGCTCTCCCTCCATCAACTTGTCAAGGAACGCCAAGGGGTTCCAGATAAGCTGCAGCTCATGTTAGCTAGATATTTTCTCGTGGGAATCAGCAGTACAAACCTCCCCAAAGATCTCCTTGCTGGATGAAGCAATCAGGTTTCCCAGAATAGCAACTAGGAAGTTCGATAATGGGAAGCTGACGATCTGACCAATGAGAACATCATTAGGCTTTGTAGTATATCGCTGAAGATCAGACGCGTTGGAGATGAAAGTTCCACAGCTAGCAAGCCCGAGGAATAAGAACTTGAAGATTAAGAAGCTCTTTTCGGTGCCTTGGATCTTTGAGGGCGCATTAAGTGACTTTAGCGAGCCACCGGCCAGAGATACAGTCCATCCAAGCATAGCAAAGGCCGCACAGAAGTAGACGGCAACCTTGGCATAGACCAGGGATTTCATCTTTGGTACAGGCACAATTAAGAATGCACAGTTGACCAGCCTGCAGAGTTGTAAGCCGCGAAGTATTTAGATGGACAGCAGATCACTATACCAGTAGATGAAAAAGCACATCATCTGCGCAGATGTCAAAGCCGATTTAGAGCCCATCTTGTCTGGGATGTTCTCAATTGAAGGGAAAATGGCATGGAGGAAGACACTAAACGAGCGTAAGTCATTCCGCCAACACATCGCGTCTTGGGAAGAGCTAGAGAGAAAATACTCACTATAGACACTGCGCGCCTTGAACGGAATTGACGCCATTCCAAACAATCGACATAGCCGCACGGTTAAAAGTCGGCCACAGGGCACCCCATGTACCGAAACTGGAGCGACAAAGCACAGGGAACGGAATGCGATACATGGCACCAGCACGACCATTCAGGGCCATTAAGGCACCGGCCAGGATTTGTCCGCCAAAAGAACACCCGATCGCTTCCCACATAGTCAGACCCATGGACATCCCCGTGGAAGCCGTGTAGAGGTTGCTAACATTGGCGGTTGCAGAAAACCAGAACATGATATAGGTGAGTTGGGACCATGTTCGGTCTCTAATTGGGGTGGGTCGGATGGAGGAATTGTCCAACATATCCACGGAGCGAGTGATGCCATCTTGCTCTGTCCTTTTGACGATCAATCGTTGATGCAGCCGGGTTAGCGTCGACATGATTGCGCTTGGTCACAGATGCAATGCGAAAACAGTGAGAAGGGGGAACGACTGCAGTTATGAGGAGAGGAACGCGCATGTGGTTAGGGCTATTTGAGGCGATAAGAAAGTCCCCGCATGGGTTATGAGCCTGTCAAACTTCCCACGCCAGACCCCCTGCTATCACACAAAATGCAATAGACTGCAGCATATCACCTTATCAAAAAGCCAAGCATGTGGGCGTCGAAAAGGCCGGACTTTTCCGCAACTCCGACGGTTATCGGTCGGACTTGCAGGGAACGTGTTCATGTATGCGGGGGACTCTTATATACCCGACCTCGCATTGGTTATCTTACCTGCAACTTACATGCAACTCATCGGTACAGCAATTAAGCAATTATGGCAACCCTAGTTGAATACACCCAGATCGAATTGCTCACACTGAGCGGCCCTGAATACCGCCGAGTATCTACTGCTCCCCCGCGACCCCCGACCGAAGATGAAATCCCGATCATAGATCTTTCCTCGATTGATGGCGATATAGAAGACCGAAAGGCCATCGCATCCAAGATAAAATCAGCGGCCGAAAACACAGGCTTCTTCTATATCAAAAACCATGGAATTGCAGAAGAGCTCATCCAGAATGCTCTATCGCAAGCCAAAGCTTTCTTCGATCAGCCAGACGAGAAGAAAGAGCTGGTTTCAAGTAAGAAATCTAAACTCTCAGATGGCTGGCATGGACTTGGGACAACTCAAGTAAATAAAACTGAAACACGAGGTCATTCCCCTCTCATTCCGGGTGAAACATCCCAGCCACTAACCACCAATCCTAAAGATCGCAAAGAGACATTCTCCGTGCGCTACAACCCTAAAAACGACCCGACAATCTCCGACCCAGAATCGCTGCTCACAGACGAACGATACTCATACGGCGGCGACGATCTGAAATGGGAGGGAACAAGCCACCTCCCGGGATTCCGCGAAACAACAATCGAATTCTACCAGCGCCGCCTCGCCCTCGCACGCAAGATGGTGCGCATCTTCGCGCTCGCATTGGACATGCCAGAGGACTACTTTGACGGAGTGACAACCCACCCCGGCGCAGACGGTCTCTATGTGCATTATCCCGGCACAGAAGATGCGCTCGAAGACAGTAAAACCGATGTCGATGTCGGCATAGGCTCGCATACCGATATCCAGTGCGTAACTCTCCTGTGGCAAGATATGTCAGGAGGGTTGCAGGTCCTTTCTGCTAGCGATGAGTGGCTCGATGCTCGACCTATTGCCGGCACGCTTGTTGTTAATATCGGGGATTTCTTGCAGCGTCTTTCGAATAACCGGTTTAAGTCCACTGTGCATCGGGTTTATAATCGTCAGTCTACCTCTAGGTATTCTATGCCCTTTTTCTTGGGCTTCAATCCCGATTCGGTTTGTCAGGTTGTGCCTTCTTGTGTTGATGAGGCCCATCCTGCTCTTTATGAGCCTATCCCCTGTGGAAAGGTTAGTTGATTCTCTCATACCTTTCTATTGTGTATTCTCACATCTGCATTTAGTGGCACCGCAATCGGCTCGAACTGTCATCGGGCAGACCCCTCAGTGCATAACTGTAAAGTTGTTGATAACAGACTCCTGTTGCGTAAAATGGTGTCATGTAATTTATATAGATCGAGTGAAATATCCGTTAAAACGGTCGCATAGACTCCTCCAACCCATCCCATCCAGACGAAGGCATAGAATCAATGAACCGGAACGGCGCCCAATCCGCCACAGACATAGGATAAGAATACAAACTATCCCCCGAATTAATCGAAACACTTGAATCCAGGTAGTCCCGTGCCTTTTTTTGAACAACATTTGTTGCCCAGTTGAAAACGCCCTCAATACTCCGCGGTATCCTGGCCTGTGTCCGAACATTCTCCATTAATGTATATGTCGCGTGGATATCAGATATATCTGAAGAGTATTCCGCGAGAGTGACGCCCGCGTATGCACCGAGCAAGTAATCATAGGTCGGTCTGACGAACGCAGTGTCCGACGAGCCGAATATTAAAATCTCGCTCAGTACTACCTGCGCATGGCGGATGACGGTTTGGGTCAAGTCCTTTATGCGTTTGTTGTGGTGCAGTGAGCCGGGGGACATGCCTTGGTGCTGTTTTGCTAGTTCCCAGCGTGATAAGATGAGTGAGACGCAGGAATGTGCCCATGTCAATACGCTATTCCCATCTGTCATTGAATTTCAGCTAACTACGCGTTTTGGTGTATTGAGTGAGGGATCATACCGGCGAGATATTTTCGGCTCCATCTAGTTAACATTTCCCAGGCTTCGCCCACCGAGTTAGCAGTGTTGTAGATAACCTCGTAGAGAAGTATATAGATTTTGAGCTCAGCTGCAATGATCTGATCAAAAGCTTCGAAGCCCGGGTATTTGACAATTTCCGTCCACTGACGGAGACGGTCGCAGGAGACCACGGATGGCCGACCAGTTCCAATCGCAAATCTAGGTCGATAGTTAGCTTTGGGATTGCCCATCTTGAGGGTAAGTTGATATAGCACATACTTCAAATGTACCAGAGAAGCCTGTATCCACATCCTGCACATATTCCGACTCGTATCGTCGTAGAAGGAAGTAAGAGATCCAAGCTCAGAAAGAGAGAAACTAAGCATGCAGTGGGTGATAGTCGTGCTACTCATCAACCAGCTGTCAATATATCTACCACCTGGCACCAGAGGACCAAAACTCCAGGCGCTGAATATAAGCATGGCATGGATCGTGGTGAGGCCAATTGGCGTATCTAAGGCTTTCATGCCTAGATGAGTTTTGACCATTGAATGCAGTGTAACGTGGAGATTCGAACGGTTGAGACCAGCTGTTGCGCGGAACCCTGCCAGCAGACACATCGCGAAAAGCAGAGGGTAGTTTTGTTTGAGATCCGACATTGTTTCGTGCGGGAACGGGTACCATGATGCTATTTGTTCGAAGCCATGCTGAAAAACAGAGGCGAAGTTCTCGGAATCTAGACCCATCTCGGTCATATGTCCTAAGATGGAGTCGTTTTCTCCGTTTGTTTCGGGTTCTGTGATTAGATTGCCAACATGGCGGACGACTGTGATCGGTGCTGGGTGAAGATCGGCTGTTGGATTTGGTAGCACTATGTTATCTTCGTTTTCGTCGAGATCCTTTATCGTGGTCAGAGTACTGTTGCCCCTGGAAAAATTATCGGGGTCTGTTGATATGGACTGGTCATGTCCAAGGTGAGACCTCAATAATTGCTTCATTTCAGCGAGTGAGGCTTCAATGGCATCAAGCCTGATATCAGTTAGTATGTCACTGGATAACATAGATAGGGGTTCGGCATATGTATAAGGTATACCTTTTTGCGCAATGACATTCAGCAGGCTGAACGGACCCCCTCTCTGGACTAGTAATTGCAGATGTAGCGGGAAGGGAACATTCGAGCCTATACAAGACCTGTCAGTCCCCAAAAATAGACAACCTCGGCAGACCCCCACCAGCTTACCTTAAAGACATGCAGCGGGCGCATTGCCTCGACCCCGGCGGAACCTCGCAGCGCGTCTTCAAGCGCCGACATGGCTGGCAAGAGAGAATACGTCGTTTACTCGGCATTTTAAAGACAGAATGAGAATTAGTTGAAGTTCAGTCTGCCCAGGTGATGTTCTCCGCAGCTTATCTGGGGTTCACGAGGCTAAGACGGATTGGGTTAGCTGCTGGAGGATTAGCCTTGTCATCTATACAGAGCAGTTTCATATGAAAGGGAAAGTGGAAAAACATTATATTAGTCGAGAGTTGTCTATTATTTTACATGCTCATTATTTAGGCAAAAATGCCAATTATGCCGCTCCTCCTGCCGCAAGACTCTTGCCTTTGACACTTTTCCACTCCACAATTACTGCACCAAGGACGCTCAAAGCGGCCACAGCTGCACAGACAGTGAAAGTCTGGGTAATAGCATCGTTGTATGCAAGGAGGAGACCCGGTAGGTCTGCCTTGCTGACAGCACTTTGAACACTGGTGGCGCCGGTTCTGATGATCTTAGCTGAGTCCAAAGTGGGAGCGTACTCAGCGAGATACTCAACCAGCTTGTTGCTGAAGACATTGTTTCCAATCGAAACAAAAAGAGCACCGCCAAGGGTCTGGGCGAAAACGATGATGGCAGTACCGGTAGGCACATCGACAATGTCAAGAACAACCTGAACGGCGATCATAGGTTGCTGCATACCAAATCCGACACCAGCACCCGCAATAATCTGATAACCGATCCAAACGGCCTTGGGGGTATCTGGGTGGAACTTGGTCATGAGACCATAGCCGATGGATATCATGATAGTACCGATAATCATGAAAGGTGCGTAATAGCCGACGACGGTAACGATTATGCCCGACAAAACAGATAAAACCACGACCGAGATCAACATAGGCAGGTTCATGATTCCTGAGTTGACGGCACTGGCGCCCTTCACGGCCTGGAACCAAATGGGCAAGAAGTAGACAGAGCAGAGGAACGCTGCGCCGAGGCAGAAACTGAAGAGGGCTGAGGACCACACAGTGCGCTTGAAGAATATGCGAGGAGGCACAGTGGCATACTCTTGCTGTGTCCATTGAACGAACACAAAGAGCAAGATCAAGACGCCAAAGAAGCAGAAAAGCAGAATGATGCGCCAGCTGCTCCAGGGATATGTTGTGCCACCCCATTGCAGGGCCAGTAGCAGGCAAATGATAGCAGGGAGGAAAAGAGACGTGCCAATAGGATCAAACTTCCTAATACGCTCTGTCCATGTCGAGCTTTTGATCTGGCGGTTTGGAGCCGGGAAGAAGATAGCAATCACCACAACAGTGATAGCACCAATAGGCAGGTTGATGTAGAAACACCAACGCCACGACACTTTGTCAGTAAAGACACCTCCCAAAAGAGGCCCTGCAACTGAAGCAATGCCGTACATGCTGCCAATAAAGCCACTGTACATGGGGCGCTTCTCAAGAGCTACCGAGTGGGCTAGGATAATCAGGGCACCCGAGAAAATACCGGCTGAGCCAATACCAGCGACGGCACGGCCAATGATAAGGGTCAGGCTGCTGTTTGCCACACCGCAGATGAGACTTCCCAACTCGAAAATGCCGATGGCGATGAGGTAGACCCATTTGATACTGAAAAAGCTGTAAAACTTTCCAAAGAGGAGCTGGAGAGACGCTGTGGTAAGGAGGTAGGCTGTAAACAGAACGGGAAGGGATTAGCTCAACTCTATACTCCGATATATCGGCTTTCTACATACCACTTCCGTACCAGCCTACATCTTCCAAGCTATGGAATTTATCTGTGATCTTGGGGATAGCTGTGGCGATGATACTGTTGTCTGCAAGGTAAAGTAAGCACTAGTCCAATGATGTTATATCAATGGGGCAAACGTACCAAGTGCCACTAAGAAGACACTTAGGCACAAGGCCAGTGCAATCAACCCCAGCTTGAGGCCTGTGGGGTATTCTGTGCCATCTTCACGTGTATTGACAGCCTCGACTGGTGAGTGTAATGAATCAGGCTCTGCCGTAGCAGTCTGAACTAATGTGTGTTCCATCTCTTTTGCTAGTGTTGGCGATGTGGGAGGGCCACTGAATGCCTCAGCCTTCTCTGGGTCCTCATGCATAGCATGATCTGACATAGCCGTAGACACCATTCCTGGTATCAGAGCAGAATAGGCAGAACAGAGTAGACAAAGCAGAACAAGATATCGGACTTTGGCGTAGTGGAGAACTAGAGAAAAGGGCAGAGATTTAAAGCAAAAGGAGTCATCGTAAAAAAAGGCCCGAGAACAGGGTCCATGTGGTTTTGACAGGCGCTAGTGCTTAGATAGGTTTCGGGTCCAATGTAACCGTGGATCGGGCCACGTTTGGACCACTCAGTGCTTGTAAATACGAGCTTGATCAATAAAGAGCCCCACGATGGAGACACAAGGCCTAAGTCCGAATGGTATACACTAACTTTTATAGGGGATTGCGCTATAACAGTTATGGGACAAGGACCTATCCACCGGGGAGATATTGTACCGAGCCGTTTACAACGGACAAAGCCATAGCTTACAGGCAAAAATATAGTTCAAGTTCGTCCGGAATTCGTCCGGTACCCTTCTATTAAAAGTGCAAGCCAAGTCTCACACTCTTAGAATATCAGCCCGAGACGTGATCTTGCAGGGCACAGTGATGCTCACCCATGGTGGCGCTCATGTTTGTCGCCTTTACTATTATATATATCAATGTCAGCTAATGGCAAAAAGCACAAATGTGAATCGGCACTTGCTTCTTATTCCAGTTGTTATGGGAAAATATCCGGGTTTAGCCGCATCTTGCCCACCCGTCCTCGTTAGGGCTTACGTCCGCCGTATTCATTGCCACTGCCATCACAGGTACTAGCGAATGAAAGTCGAAGACCCGACAACTCGCCAATGAGCCCTAGCAGACGTATGACTCACAATGGTTGGTTTCGTAGAAGAGAGAAGTAAGAGAACCACTGGTAGGGTAGATGGGCCCGTCAACTAGGCAAGGCTGAGATACTGTGTGGGTTGCATGGTTTTATTACTTGGTGCTAGATACGTATACAATAAAGCAAGTCTAACTATACAAGCTAAACGCCCCGTCATAGCCAAGTGGCCTTCCTACACTTAGCAGCAGTAATGGTCTAAACTTGAGCCTTACTTACGGACATCAACCCTGCCAAGCCCGGGAACACAAGGGATACGACCTGCCCTATCTCTCAAAGAATGATGGATCGAACCAAATTTTCTAGACTCACCTTCCTCTTTTCCTCCCGATGCCGGTCTAGAGCAAATCAGGACAAAACCCGGCCGACCAAAGAATCCCGAGACTTCGTCAGACTGATCTATTTTCATACAATGGCTTTCCTAGATGACACTGTGACTGAAGTGATCTTGAGAGAACACCCGAAAACAAAACAACTGAACCTGTCAATCTATGTCGCGAACCGGAAGACACCAATCGGTTTGCAAAGCTCACCTGAACCCTAGTTTCTATGTTAGGGAGGACCCATTGAAGGTAGACTATCCACTATGCCTCGAATTTGTATCTCTCCGAGCTATCGATGCCGCAGAATTGATAAAAGAAGGATGAGATCACCGACGGAGTGTTCCGCGTTCTACACAAGGGCGACAGAACCACGTATATTGTCAAGGCAGTCAACCGTCTCCTTTACATACCGCACAACTCGGACATTATACGAACAGAACTAGAAAACCTTGAACAGTTCAAAGGTGTGACTGGGATCGTTCAGCCAGCTGGTATTGCGGTATTTAACAACCCGTATGCGACTTCCCAGACATGTTTCCAACAAATGGTCATCAGCGCTGTTCTATTCGAGTACAATCGTGGTGGTTCCTTAAAATGTGTTCTAAATGAACAGCGTGTAAGGGAATTCGGCTGGGAGCAATGGGCTACACAAATTGGGAATTCTTTGAGCACTATTCACCGCGCAAAGAAAACCCATATTGATATAAAGCCCTCGAATGTTGTTCTCGACGACAGTGGCAATGCGGTTCTCATTGATATCAGCGGCAACGGCGGAATAACACATGAGTGGCTTGCTCCAGAAACATGGGCTGAAAAATGTGACTTAGATCTTCCATTTCAAACTCGCCATCGAATGGCATTTAGGCCTACGGAAAACTCTTGGACGAAATAGCTTCAAACGCTGGGAATAGCCCGTTTGCGATGTTTTGAAGTTCGTTGCCGAACATTTGACGGAAGAAGATGTTAACAGGCGCTGGACTTTATCTGAGGCAAAATCTCATTTGAAGACTTGTCAGGAGACAAATTATTTTAAGCATGTCTGATTTATTCGGAATGTTTGCATGATATCTAAAGCAAGACGTTCGCGTTAAGAAGCGTGCCTCCGACCAACAGACTGACAAGTTCGGCTATACAATCTTCAAACGTACTCCCATTCGACATCGCCTTGGTCAAAATCACCTTTGCAATTCGACGTATTATTGTTTTTTTCTGGGAGTGTTTTTAACGAGGCATTGCGAGGGCAAACCGGATATGGTTATCACAGGGACCCAATGGCATACTGCGCATGATTTACCGCATTTTGTGAGAGGTGATACGCGAAGACAAGGGAGAATGAACAAAGATGGCGGATTATCTGCCGGGAGAACGTGCTCCAACTTTCATACTAACATTAACTAGTTTGTTAACGTTAACTCGACGACTAGAAGCTGGGATCCCAGGAAGCAATTCCAGGCAGTGCTCATAATATGATAAAGAAGTAGATATAGAACAGAAGAGAAGCATAAAGTGTACACGTTTGCTTTATACAGCAGTTTGAAAATGTGCTTGGACAATAACCAAGATTTGAAGACTTTATGTCTTGCTACAATTAGGTTTTATACTTCATGGCCGCTATAGCCGATATGCAACGAAGGTGACAAATGTTTAACTTATACGCTTTCTAGCTAGAAGGCACTTTACCAGATATGATTTCCAATGGAAATTATCTTTAGTGACCAATGTTAAACCTGATTTCAACCATCCAACCAAGTTGGAGAAAACCCAGTCTGACGTAAGAGACACTACATACTAATGACGTAGAGAAGGCCAACTCTTCGAAAGCGGCGACAAAGCACAACCCAGTCTCTATTTTGATGAGGCGACTACTTAAGGACTGCTTGATACCTTTCTGAACTTCAAACATTCGAACAATTCCATACTCTCAAACAATTTCATCACCATATTACTCTTCACAACAACCATCTCCGCAACCATGTCCACGGCACGCTTCGCTCCCATCCTCAGAACTCGTGTGGTAGCACCCACTCCTGGCTTCCAGGCGATCCGGTCTATTTCTGCTACAGCTTCATACAACAAGGGACCTATCGATGCAACCAAGGACACACTCAAGAAGGCTGATCGGACAGTATCTGATGCAGCAGTGAAGGGAATTAACCAGGGTGGTATGTTTACATTGCAGAAATCCCGTAGATGTACAGAGACAGGTGCTAACATAGGTTTCACAACAGAGAAAGCTGCCCACACCATCAAAGAGGCCGTTGGTGCAGGCACCCAGCAGGCTAAGGCCAAGGGAGAGGAGGCCAAGGGCGATGCCGCGAAGGTTGCTGGCCAAGGACAAGGGAAGGCAGCGGAAGCCCTAGGCGAGGCCAAGGGGAAGACAAAAGAGGCAATGGGTACGGTTGAAGGGAAGGCCAAGGAGGCTAAGAACCGCATGTAAAGGGTTTAATCTTCTGCCGCAGATCTGTTGAGCTTGCATGACTGGTAATTATCGAGTGTAATATTATTGCCGTTAAATCTTTCATTTCAGTTGTGATTTCATCCACTCGGGCTCTTCCAGGTCTCTTAGATTGAAGTTGGAATGATCCGAGTTCAGCTAGGGGGTAGCATGAGAACGTATTCGCGGGAGCTCAATCCAAAGCGAATCACGTCCTTGTCCATGACCTCCACGTAGCGACCTGCTGGAACGGTTTCCCCGTTGACGCTAGAGCCATTGGCGCTCTCAAGGTCAAGGAGGTAAGGCTTGACCTTTCCGATGCGGTCACCGAATTCGTTCCTCTTTTCGACAAATCGGAACTGGAGCACAGCATGCTGCTTAGAGCAACTGGGGTGGTCAAGAGGGAAATCCACAATGGATCGCTCGCGGCCGACTAGCCAGCAGCTGCGTTCCAACAATTCCACAGTTTCAAGCAGATCTTTTCCCTTGAAGACATACATACGCCAAGCTTCCTTGGCTGGTGGCTTGCGTGCCTCTGGAGGCTCATGGTATTTCAGAACAATTCCTTCTCCACCTTGGACTTGAACTGTATTGCTTTCTGCCGCCAATCTGCCGGTAGAGCTGAAATTGGGCTTTTGTTTCTCTGGTGCAGGTGCGTCTCCAGGTTGTGCCACATCGGTAAAAGCATCCGATTGTGAAGGCAGCGGGCCGCTGCGTTGCAATGCACGCGGTGGGGAGCTGCGTGATGGTCGTGGTGAGCGAGAACGGGATCGTGGGCGTCTCTTAGATGATCGTTCTTCATCTCCGTGGGTATCACGGTGTCGGTGGCTGCGGTGTCTGTGTCTGCGGCGGTCTTCTGCTGCGGAGCTAGTTGACCGTTCTCTGCGCTCCCGTCGGGGACTGCGAGAATGTCTACGTCTGCGCCGGTCACCCGCTGAGCTTGTTGATCGTTCCCTGCGCTGACGCCGGGGGCTGCGAGAGGATCTCCGTCGAGGGCTGTCTCGTCGGGAGCTTCGGCGGTCGTCGTCACGTCGTCTTGAGCTTGAATAATCGTCGTCTCGCGGTGCATCTCGCCGCCGTTCGCGATTTATGTCTGATGGCGAGGTAAATGAACCTCGCCGGCGCTCGCGACGGTCTTCATCGTCAGACCTGGCCATTCTTCCCGATGTAAAGGATCTGCGCGAAAAGGAAAGCGTGGTGGCAGAAGCAATAAGCATTGCATTGGAGATCTTTAATCAGAGCTCCAACGGCTGCACGTGATCATCTCCGCGGCCGGGCCGAAGGCTAAGTGAGGGGAGCTTTCCTTCCTTCAACACGACTACTTTGAGAAGAGAGCATAACGGATTCTCCCCGTGCTCTCTTTCGACCGAATGATGCGGTCATGCTCAAGAAATCCAACCTTCTTCGTGGGAGAGGCCTGCCACTACTGAGCTCGACAGCCTCGCCACTTGCCCATTTCAATAGGAAAACCGTTCCAATTCATGAACTACATAAACCACACACGAGCAGGAGCTATGCAACTGCCTCACAATTCTCTCATCAGAACTACGTATGGCCCAGCAATCTGTCCTTCACTCCCTACGACGTCCTGAACATTCCCCGCGGCGCTCCGTACTCGAAGAGACCATACTACGACCTTGTTAAGATCTATCACCCCGATCGACCCTTCACCAAAGATCATCCACTATTTGGAGAATTGACCGCCGAAGCTCGGGTACAGCGCTATCGGATCGTGGTGGACGCACATGAGATCCTTTCCGATCCCATCAAGCGAGCTGCTTATGACCAAGCCGGCACTGGATGGAACCACGCAGTACAAGATACAGCGGGCTGGAACACACATGGGCCGAGTATATATGCGAATGCCACATGGGAAGATTGGGAACGGTGGAATAACCGCCACAACGGCCCGCAGCAGCACGTTGTCGACCAACGCACCTTCACCCGGCTGGTGATCCTCTTGGTGCTCTTCGGGGGCGCTGTTCAAGCATCATGGATCGGAAAGATGAATACTGGTTTCGAGGATAAACTGCGCCAGGTCAACGAGGAGTCGGCGCGCTTCTTGCATGGCCGGAAAGACAACACCGTCAAGCAGATGGATTCGAATGATGCTCGTGTGCAGGGTTTCCTCATTCGGAGAGATCCCACTGGGTCGGGACTGAAAGACTCTGAGCAAAATGTCTACCAGAAGGAGCTAAGTCCTCTTCGCCGGCCGAATGAGACCTCCTCGCCTGACAGTCAAATTGTGTCGGACCTTGCACAGCCAGCAGCTTCAGTGAAGCCAGAAATCGCAGAAACCTAGACTTTCTATATGCGCATATGATTGCATGGTGTTTTGGCAGTTCACATGGCTGGCACTTTTCGGTTCTATGCGTGTCCTTCGCCTTGTTCCTGGAGACCTTGTATGCAGGCATACGTATGTAAGGGCAATGATTTGAACATATTCAATGATGTATCAAAAAGCCGTAAGGGGCACGCCGTACATACCGTATAGTTAACTTCAATCTCAAATTCAATCATAGTCCCAAAACAGTAAGTGACCTACAATGCAAACTTATACATGTTATGCCTTCACGGTGGACCTCGGCAGTGACGCCACTGGCGGCTAAATCCGGTTTAGGGCCTGTCTTTATTCTCTATACTCTTTTCCCTCCCAATTTGTTTTTCTGATTCTTGCTGGAGCCAGTGCTCCAATTCGCTCTTTGTTGCCATGAGCTCGCTCAAGCAGCCCATCGCCCTTTTAAAGGCGATGCTGGTCAGGATCCCATTGATCCTAAAGACCATTCTCCTACATGGCGCTCGAATGTCGCCCGTGAGGGGAAAGCAGGACTTGCGCACTGAGTTAACGGTCGCCATTATCCGCTCATTCATTACATTTACCACTCCGGTCGGCAAACTGCAGAAAGACAGCATGCGCGATCCTGGGATCAAGGGCCCTATGTGGGTGTCCAAAGTGACCCTGCCGCAGCCTGAGGTCGACGTGCGCGACGCTGTGTTGCGCGCAATCGAGGACCTCAAGACCGGCGACGAGACCTATGATGTCCCCAACGCTGCTGCCGTCGAAGCCGAATGGACTGGCTACCGTAGCAAAGTGGGAAAGCGCACAGCGCAACCAGATATCTCAGAAGAAGAGAAATATCACAAGCTGCGCGAGGAATCACCGTCTGATATGACGATCTTATACTTCCACGGAGGCGCTTACTTGTGAGTACCCGTCGACGCTTTAGTATAAACATATCCAGCTAACATATTCCAACAGCCTCATGGACCCATGCTCTCACCGTGTCCCCGTCGCACATCTCTCCCACCGAACAGGTGCCCCAGTTCTGTCCGTCCGCTATCGCCTAGCACCGCAGAACCCATTCCCAGCAGGTCTAGTCGATGCCCTCACAGCCTATCTCTCGCTCATCCACCCACCAGCGGGCTCCCTCCACAAGCCCGTGCCAGCAAACAAGATCGTCTTAGCAGGTGACTCCGCAGGCGGCAACCTCTCACTAGTCCTCCTCCAAACCCTCTTGACCCTCCACCGCGCATCCCACACAATCCGCTTCCACGGCAAAGACATACCCATCGAACTACCCGGCGGCGTAGCAACCGTCTCACCATGGTGCGATGTCACACGCTCTATGCCATCAATCCGCAAGAACGCGGTGTTCGACTACCTCGATGCACCACCAGGCACAGACACTCCATTCAAGCCAATCCCCTTCCCCTCAGATGAGGTTTGGCCTGCATCCCCGCCGCGTGTGGATATGTTCTGCAACGCCAATATGGTTCTGCACCCATTAGTCTCTCCGCTCGCTGCCCCAGCTGAGCTCTGGAAGAACGCACCTCCTATCTGGATCTCGGCTGGCGAGGAAGGCCTCACAGATGAGGGTTTGATAGTGGCGCGCCGTGTTCACCAGGCTGGTGTGCCTCTCGTCGCTGAGGTGTTCGAGGGTATGCCGCATTGCCATGGTTTGCTCATGATCTCTACGCCGTCCGGCCGCCGTTTCTTCGAGAGCTTTGCTGGGTTCTGTCGTGATGCTGTGGCTGGTCGTGTTGCGTCATCCGGTAACCTCACTCATATTTCATATAAGGCGCAGTCTACAAAGGAGATTCCTATTGAGAAGGTTTGTGAGACTACCGATGAGGAGGCTGCTGCTCTTATGCGGAGGAGCGCTGCTTGGCGATTGGAGGGGGAGAAGGAGTTGCAGAAGCAGTGGCATGAAAGAGCGCGTCTATGAGAGGCCTTTGGTTGCTTTGCATTGTTTAAAGGTGTATACCCTGTTTTTGCATTATAATGATATAGCCTTGATTCTTAGTGGGTTTCTATTCTACTCGTGCATCGGCTTTGTGTACTAGATTTCCGTTAAATGAATGTTTACATAGCACGAGTCGCTATCTGCGATTGTATTGGGCAGTAGCTAAAATCACAATGGGCTAATTCATGAGAAAACGACTCGCTGGTCTATCTGATCAAGTCTCCACTGGCCGCAATATATGACCGTCCACCTCATCCTAAGCGGACGTACAGTGCAAAAGACAAAGGAAAACGCTGCAAGATATTATACAATCTCATGCAGCTAAAGGACTTCATCATCGTCCATCGAGGCCTGGTCCTCTTCCCACCGCTGTGGATGCGCATCCCGAGGTGGCCATACAGACTGTACAGGCTGCATAGGCCGCACATGTTCAATAGACTGCTTAGGCTCATGAACAACAGCTTGAGCCGTCGGCGCCGACAGCCAGGGAAAAGCAACAGGGGTGCCGTTAATACGAATTTCACCAACAAGGCCCGTAAGCTGAGGAGTCTCCTCCACATAGCCATCAGAAAAGCCGAGCAATTGGGTGAACAGGCGGAAGACAAAAACGCAGATAGCAAAGACAGGCGTGAGAAGTGTCGATAGATGTGACCAGCGCCACAGCATTGTCACCGTCACGAATGGGAAGGAGGGTGCATCGGGGCGTAGACAATAGCCCTCGCATGTTTCAGTTATTTCGGGACGGCTATATTGTTCGCACATGAGGCATTCGATGATATACCACGAGATCGAAATGAGAGTAACCCAGCCGAGGTTGGTCATTTGGAGGCGTCGAGATGTCGGGCTCCGCTTCCACAGTCGGGGAACAGGGAGCGCGGCGTATACTCGTCCATCCGAGTGCGTACCGCAGTCTTTGCAGGTTTCGCCTGTGTGGATGTGTGATGGTTGTTTGCTTCCCTTCTCTGTTGGAAAACTTGATTTTGAAATGGTTGCAGCTCGATTGACTTGGCCTTCGAGACCGTCCAGTCCTTTCTTCACTTCGCTGATGTGTCTCATGAGTGAGTTTAACTTGTCATTAACTGAGCCAAGATCGACCTGGTCGTTTTGTGCTGTATCCGCCTGTGCGAGTTTCTCCAGGACCGCCTTTTCGTAGGCTTCTTCGTCTTCTTCTTCGATTTTGAGCTCGGCCGGGCCATCGTCATCATCCATCATACCTCGGAGAGACTCAAGGGTGTCGTTTCCGAATTCATCGTCCTTGCCAGAGCTTGCATCTTCAATGACAGCCTCCAATGCACTTTTTGGCAGATGCGGCCGAGGCAACGGGGCTCTGGACTGTTTCTCGGGTTTGGGCTCAGGGGGAGGCTGCTCTTGTTTGCTTTCGACTGGTTTTGTCTCCTCGGGCTTCGACGTGACGGGCTCTGCTGGTTTTGCAGGCGGTGCGACAGCCTTTTTTTCACTTGCTGCCCGTGGAGGAACAATGTCTCTAGTCAAATCTTCAGGGAGTTCAGGCATTCGATCTGCCACCCGCTCAGTCATGGGAGTATCAATCCATGCCCCAGTTACCCGAGGGGTCTGGTCGTAGATTTTACCCCCAAAGAGCTTTGATGGCTCGGGAGTCTTCATATGATCAGGCTTAGGCGTCTCAACTCTGGACAGCCTCCGTAGCAAATCCCGCGAGCCTCGCTTGCTGGGACTAGGTCGTGTAAACTTCGAGCCTTCATACGCCGTGTCGTTCTTGAAAACAGTCACGGGGCTATTGGGAATGGGGTTTCCGTCGCCAGGAGGGAAAATAGGCTTGGTGGGAGGTTGCTTCCATGCCAGATCTTCCTGCGGTGCCTGAATAAGAGAGTTAGCGGTGCGTTCCTCAAGTACACCCCAAGCAGGAAGACCGTTCCGCACCGGAGAACGAGGAGACGTGCGAGCAGGCCTAGCAATCGGGTCGCGCTCTCCATTTGTGTGGCGATTTGATGGCCTAGTTTCCTCTTGTTTCTCGAAAACACTAGGCTGACTGGTTTTTCTCTGCCATTCGTGTGGGTAATTGGCCCGACTGCCCCAGCTGGAAGGTAGATTCAGCGAAGGACCACGGCTCCCATCATCCTCCACAATATGTTGTTCCACCTCAATCTTCTCTTGTTCACGTCTTTGTAGATTGTCCGCCGTCAATGAGGGTGATCGTCCCATATGCGCCCTGCTGAAAACCGGCGATCCCTTTTTTGTAACGCGATTGAGACGCTTTTCATCCTCGGTATAGTCCCGAGCCCTGGGAGGTCGATACGCGCCGAGATCACCGTTGAGACTGGCACCGGATATGGAATTGCCCTCTGGGGAGCCTATTGCGTGGTTCGTCTCCCTTGCGCGAGAAGAGGAGCGACTCAGTCGACCTGGGGAGCGAGCCTTCGGCTCCCAAGAATCCTCGCGCACAAACTCGGCCAGGGTACCGTCTTCTTCAATCTGTCTGTAGGAGTCCATGATTTCGTGAGGCGGAGGGGAGTTCGGGGACGTCGAAGAGAACGCGTTCATTGACTGTCGCTTCTGTCGCGGGCTGGGTGTAGTTGCCTGTGGGCTTAATTCGTTGGCTGTGAAGGGCATATCTTGTCTGGACGCAGTGTGGTATGCTGCTGCTAAAGATCCGGGACGGGGAGCGCCTCGTCGATGCGTATCATTCTTGAAGTTCGACGGGAACTGATCTATATCGAACTTGGAGGCGTGTTGGAAAGGCGACCGCGGCGCTTTCTCTTGAGAGACTCGGTTTTTCCTGTCGGATAACATGACGAGGGTCGCCCCTTGCAGAGGAAACGCGAAAGTAGGAGTGGTGAAGGAGGAAGACGCGCGGAGAGAGTGACCGGAGTAAATACGGAGACCACTCATTCCCCGAAGTGGTTAGCCTGTGGAATCCTCTCTGAATTACGTCTTCACTCCCAACTGTCTTCGACTTGTCTTTTGTCTACATTTATTGCTACCTTGCGATATATCAGAGCTCACAGTACAATTCGTGTGCAAATGACCCTTCATCTTGACATGTGACCCGTCCACAGTCGATCCTCTGACCTCGAGAGCTTCGATAAAGGCAATCCCATTCCCAAGCTCAAGCTCCAGAGCTCACTCTTCACCTCAAACGTCCAACCTTACCCGGTAACCAAGCCCACCATGGCAAAATCCGCAAGGCGATCAGGTCGCAAAACACCCGCCTCAACACCAGGCTCATCCGGCGCCTCAACACCAAGCTCCGTCTCAGGCCCAATTCCACCCTTCATCAAAGTCCCACCAGCGCTGCAGTCCTTCGTCGAACCACTCTCCCCAAAAGAAGTATACCTAGTCCACCTGGACATAACAGCGGAAGACCTAAAACGCCAAACCTTCACTGTCCCCCTCATCGTCAACCTAGTAGTCGGCGCCGTGATCGCGCTACGCGTATACCAGGGAATCAGCACATACCCAGCCCTCATCGCCACGCTAATCGGACTACAAAGCTCGATGACAGTGGACACAGCCACGACCCCGTGGACAGAGGGGTTACAAATCGTGCTGAGGCGCACGGGAACCCTGCTGATCGACTACTTCCTCGTGACGATGTTCCTGTCATGGCCGATTAATTTCATTAAGGGGCCCGTGCGTTGGCGGCGCGCGGTGGGGTTCCGTGAGCGAGAGGTCATCGTGCGCCGCAGCCACCGGAGCTGGAGTCGAAAGCTTGAGCGCAATAAGTGGATTCGGGAGGATGAGGCGCGGCGTGATAAGATCATTGCTGCTGTTACGCCGGAGCGCATTGGGAAGACGGGGTATTTGCTTGTGGATGAGGACTGGAATTTGGATTATGATGCTATGATTCGGGCTCATGCACTTGTTGATCGTACGAGGCAGGGAGATGGCGTGCAGATGGATGAGTTCCGTACTGCGGTTTTGGTCCATACTGATCCTGATGGCTGGTTGATTTGGCGTGTCGGGGATGAGAATACTCCTGCTGGTCGTCAGCGTTCTGAGCAGCGCGATCAGATCCTTGCTTTCAAGGATAAGTTGACTGAGATGGGCAAGGAAGACCTCTTCCTTCGGTGGGTTGAGTTGATTCAGTGGGAAAGCTCGCAGCCCGGTGGCTTCACTCCGGAACGGCAGCGGTCTGCAATGTTCCAAGCAAAGCAACTGTTCGAAGATGAGAATGTGGACTTTAGCAGTTTCTGGGACGACATGGGCGGTATGGAAGGAATGGGTGAATTAGATTAGCGACTTATAGGTGTCATATTGCATTCACTTTCAAGCTGCATCGAACTCTTACTCAAAAGGGAATACGTAGTGCTGTCGGGCTGATCCAATAGCCCTAACACACCATGCCCGGCTCGATAGATTCAAATGTAAATTGCATTGTTGGGTATCTGAAATATAATGACAACAGCAAATGATTCGTATATGAAAACCAACAGCCGTAGTCTCAATGCTGAAGAAAAGAAAAATGTAAAAGCGAAAGGAAACAGAACGATGCTCCGCTACTCCGTTCAACTTGGGCGACAGTCCTCATGCGCCACCCTCAAGTCGATAATCAAGCGACCACAATTTCTCCCAAGGGCGAGATCGGCCATTCTGTCGACGACCGGACGTCGATCCGGAGGGCGACGAAGCTGCATCCCCTGTGGGGTTGACCGATAAGTGCCCAAGATCCTGAGGCAAAGAAAGCGTGTTAGCTTCTGACCCGAAGTTAAAAAAAAAGGAAGCAGACCCGGGAAAAGATGGAAATCAAAGTAGATCCTACTTTTCACGAGCCGGAGAGTAGGTCACGGCGAACCTCGTCGAAGATCGGAGCAGCCTCTCGAGGCTGCGAGCTGGCATCACCTTCAGCAGGGCGCACGAGATCCGTCGTGGACTCGACGGCGTGCTGAGACGGTGTAGGCGTTCCACGTTTGGAGTTGGCACTTTCACGGCGGCTGTCAAGGCTCCTTGAGAGGGTCTTTGCAACAGTACCTTCGTCCGCAGGTCGCTTCAGGCGAATGCTGCCT